TCAGGCGAACCTGATAAAACGCCCCCCTGGTCACGGCCGACAAGTGATCTTCCAATGTCAGCCGTGCATCCAGGAGGACTCCCAAGTTGCGTGCCCTCTCTGAGGGGGCCAAAATTTCGCCCCCTATAGTCAGCGATGGAATCAGCTGACTATGCCGAGGCGCTGGCATCCACAGCCACTCGGTCTTGGAAGGGTTGAGCTCAGGATAAAACAAAATATTTTGTTCCATGTTCTTCTGAATTCCTTGCTACAGGAGTCAACTAGTACTTGAATAAGCCCTTCCTCTGCTATCATTCATCCTGGACCACAAAGGTAGTTCTCGACTTATAGCCACAATTCAGCTGAAAATTTCTATTGCTAAGCGAGGCAATCCTTAAGTGAGTTTTTTCCCGTTTTACGACCTTTCTTGCCACAATTGTTAAGTGAATCACTGCAATTGTTAAGTTAGTAACAAGGTTGTAAAGTACTTCCCCATTGACTTTGCTTGTCAGAAGGTCGCAAAACGTGATCACTGCGACACTACGACCATCATAAATATGAACCAGTTGCCAAGCATCTTAATTTTGACCACAGTGACGATGGGGATGCTGCAAAAATTGCAACTGTGGAAAACAGACATAAGTCACTTTTTTCAGGGCTGTTGTAAGTTCAACTGGTTATTAAATGAATGGTTGTAAGTTGAACACTACTTATATGTCAAGAGGTGGCCCATGTGCGGGTTTTGCTAATCATCCCGTTACCTTTAGTAGAAATGTATTTATTTATTAATTTGGCTTATAGGTGACTTCACTTCTGAAGACTTGAACAGCTTACGAATAATATGCATAAAATGAATAGCTATGTATCTGACTAGCAACATCAGTAACACAGCACAACAAACTCCCATAAGAAAGCCTTATATAAAATATTCAAAGGGCTGAGAATTCTTTTAGGTATTTAAACTTTTTAAAAAATCTTATAGTAAATAATAGAAGCAATAGCTAATCTGAAATTAGCAGACTTTTTGTAGGCTGCCTGCCTAAAGTTTAAAAGCATACTTAATCATTTTTCTATAATTCCCTCTGATTAGTTTGGGGAAAGGAAACTATTCTAATATTTTAACTTTTATTCTGGTAGGCCACAGTATTTTGAAAACTCATCTATGGAGCATGTTCGGTAGGCTTATTCTGTTCCAAGCTTGAATGAAGTTTTTTGGGGGGGTTTTCTTGCACATTCCAAAAGGTGCAATAATTTATTTCATAATTAACCACATTAATTCTGTTTATTCAGGCCTTTAAATACTACATGACTGCAGAATGGGAGCTTAGATTCTGCCTCTGTGTAATTTAATGTCCCCCCCCCCATCCTTTTCAAACCAGGCTATAGAAAAGCTTGACTGTACAAGTATTCCTCGACTTAAAACAATTCATTTAGTGACCGTTTGAAGTTACAAGGCACTGAAAAAGTGACTTATGACCATTTTTCACACTTATAATTATTGCAGCATCCCCAGGGTCATGTGATTAAAATTCGGATGCTTGGCAACCGACTCATAGTTATGACGGTCGCCGTGTCCCAGGCTCATGTCATCACCTTTTGTAACCTTCTGACAAGCAAAGTCAATGAGGAAGCCAGATTTACTTATCAACTAGGTTTCTAACTTAACAAGTGCAGTGATTCACTTCCCAACTGTCGCAAAAAAAAAGGTCGTAAAATGGGTCAAAATTCACGTAACAATTGCCTCACTTAGCAACAGAAATTTTGGGCTCAATTGTGGCCGAGGACTACCTGTAATGTAGCGTAGGAGAGTTGGGCTGGGTAAAATTAATTGTAGACTGTTCCTAAAATGCTGATTCAATAGGCCTGCCTCAGAAGTAACTATGGTTTCATGTTTCTTACAGAATATGATTTAATGTTCGTCTGTAGCACAGATATTGATAACATCTAATTGTGTCTCTCCACCCTGACAGGAATTCAAAAAAGGAGCTGAATGACATCCGATTTGAATTCACACCCGGAAGAGGTGAGCAGGATGAGAAAACCTTCTGCAGCTCGTTAGTGACCCGATGTTGTTTGGTGGTTGTATGCTGATTGGGTGGGGGGGGGGGGTTACATGTCAAAAGTCCCAGTTAAAAAGAGATTCCCTAAATATGGAGCAAAGTCGTGTCCCATGATAGAGCAGTTAAGAAAATTCCCAATTTTTTTGAAAATGAATCCATGGGCTTGCTGGATCTTTTCTAGATAGAGCAGTGTTTCTCAACCTTGACAATTTTAAGGCATGTGGACTTCAACTCCCAGAATTCTGGGAGTTGAAGTCCACATGCCTTAAAATTGTCAAGGTTGAGAAACACTGAGATAGAGGCTCCCAAAATGTTTGAAAGATGGAGTTGAAAGCAAATCAGTTTGTTCAGGCACTAAAATCTTCGCAATGTGTCATACGGATGCCTTTGATTTGGGATTTAATCTGAATGTGCAACTTCTCAGAGTATCATAAAGGGCCTTGTGACTTCCAGATGACTTACCTGCGTGACCATTTTCCATTTTGGCTGAGGATTATGGGAATTATAGATGGAGAACTGTTTAACTCAATCCTGCGGATATTACCTGGTGCTGTGTAGCATCCTTTACCTTTTCAACTAATCAATCGTAGCTCAATCTCTCATGAAATACTGCAAACCTTTGCAGTGATTCTGTTAAAAAAAGGAATACATTCTCGCCTCCTTCCACAAGATGTCCCCAATAGATTATAATAAAATAATAAAATAAAGGCAAGGTAATATACAGAATATAGGCAGTCTTCATTCAGTGTCATTGTAAGTTTGAACAGCCACTAAATAAGTGGGTCATTAAGACCATTTCTTCAGCGACTGTTCAAACTTACAATGGTGCCGATTGAAGAGGCTTACAACCAGGTCCTCAAAATTACGGCCATTGCAGGGTCCATGATTGTGATTTGGGCACTTGGCAAGTGTTGCGCAGTTTAGACAGTCACGACATCCCATAGTCACTTGATTGCCAGATTGTGACCTTCACTGTCATCCTCTAATCAGCAGAGTCAATAGGAAAGTCTGCAGAAGGATACACGTTGTGATCACGTGATGTCTCACTTAATGACACAACTAAAAGTATGGTCGTAAGCCAGCAAGGTCATGTGACTTCCACATTACTGCCACATTGCTTAGCAACAGAATTGCCAGTCCCCATGACCATCATTAAACAAGGACTACAGGTAACCCTTGACAACCGTAATTGAATCCAAACTTTCTGTTGCTAAGCAAGGCAATTGTTAAGTGAGTTGTGCCCCAATTTATGACCATTTTAGGTATAGTTGTTAAGTGAATATGCAGTTGTTAACCTAATCTGGCTTCCCCCATTGACTTTGCTTGTCGGAAGCCAGCTGGGAAGGTCACAAAAGGTGACCCCGGGACAGTGCAACTGTCGTAAATACATGCCAGTTGCCAAGTATCTGAATTTTGATCCCGTGACCACGGGGACCCAGCAATGGCCATAAGTGTGAAAAACGGTCATAAGTCCCTTTTTTCAGTACCATTGTAATTTCGAACAGTCACTAAACAAATGGTTATAAGTTGAAGACTACCTGTATCTGTAAAACAAAAACCAGATAGAATCAGATATCTCCAGCGTATAAGTGGTGGAATCAAAGATAGCATCTAGATGGTATTCTAGCATGGATTTATCTGTCTAATTATGGTCTTTCCAGACACTGCAGATGGAGTATCCCAAGAACTCATCTCGGCTGGACTGGTGGATGGCAGAGATTTAGTCATAGGTAATGCAAGCCTTATAGAGAAAAAATTCCCTGACATTTTTAGCCCCGTGCCAGTTTGTGTCACTTTATTTTGCTTTCAGACACAGCAGGACAAGCTGACCTGTATATTTTTGCCTATATATTTGCCTGTATATTCTTGGCTGATGCTGGGGGGAAATTTGTTCATAGAGCTTAGATGCCCATCACTGAGTGTGTCTTCCCTATTGTTTCAGTTGCCGCGAACTTGCAAAAAATTGTGGAAGAGCCTCAGACGAACCGATCGGTCACTTTCAAGCTGGTATTTATATATATATATATATATTTTCCCCTGACTATTCAAATCTTTCTAAAAAGTTGTTTCAGCCTCTTTTGGCCAAATGCTGCATTTATTCAGCTCAACAAAAAATGTTTGTGCTCTGCAAATATTAAGCACTGGATTAAAGCTGGTTTATTTCCGGATATCCAATGTGCTTGGATTGAGTTGAATGCCAGACATGTTTTTATATCTTTTTTTTGTCGAGCTGGTTATTGTTTCTAGCTTTTACAAGTAGATCGGCTTTCATTTATTAGATGCCTTTTAGATCTGTGGACTTCATGCCCTAGGATATTTCAACCACCATCGTCACTGCTGGGGATTCAGGCTGCTGAAGTCCACCAGATCTGGAAAATGCCCAAGTTGGAGAAAACAGAATAACAGAGCTGGAAGGGACCTTGGAGGTCATCTAGTCCTGCCCCCTGCTCAAACAGGAGACCCTGCACCATTAGGGACAAATGGCTGTCCAGTCTCTTCTTGAAGATTTCCACTGATGCAACACCCACAACTTGTGGAAGCAAGCCATTTTGACTGATTAATTATTCTCACTGTCAGGAAGTTTCTCCTTAGTTCTAGGTTGCTTCTCTCCTTGATTGGTTCTTGTCCTGCCTTCAGGGGCTTTGGAGAATAGCTTGACTGCCTCTTCTTTGTGGGGCAGCCCCTGAGATATTGGAACTCTGCTATCGTGTCCCCCCTCGTCCTTCTCTTCGTTGAACTAGACATACCCAATTCCAGCAACTGCTCTTCATAGCAACCTAGAACTAAGGAGAAATTGAAGGTTGCGGCATTCCCATGTTCACGTGATTAAAATTTGGACACTTGGCAACTGGCATGTATTTATGACGGTTGCCGTGTCCCCGGGTCATGTGATCCCCTTTTGTGAACTGCTGACAAGCAAGCCAGGTTCCCTTAACAACTGTGTTACTAACCACCGCAGTGATTCACTTTATGGAAAGAAAGGTCATTATATTAACTGTCTCACTTAGCAACAGAAATTTTGTGCTCAGATTTTGGTCATAAGTCGAGGACTACCTGTAATTATGCAGTCTTGCTAATGGTGAATGTGTATCATCCCTCCCTCTCTCCCTTTATCTTTATGAGAACTAGGCAAGATCTTGTCAGAGAGATTTTCTCAGGTTGCGTTCCTGGCTCTGGATTCAAGTTTTCTCTTTTTTTTTTTTTTTATCTGACTCTAGTCTTGATCGTAGCTTAGCCTCCTGTCCCCTCAAGGCCATCCCCTCGGTCCTCTTCGTGTCCTGGTAAAACAATGGATTCTGTTTCCTTGTCTTTCAGGCATCAGGCGTGGAAGTGTCTGAAATACCCGATGACGGCAAACTTGTTGGATTTGCTCAGCTCAGCATCAACTAAAACAACACTCCCCGCTTATGGTTGCAATCCATAGGTGCAACGTACAAATACTCCTGTTGGCCAAAAAAAGCAAAACCACTCCTGCCAAAGAACCAAAACTGCAGGCCCTCGTTCTTAGAAGCTTTAACTTCATTTCTTCCCAAGTAGCATCAAGGAGGACTACAACACTACTGCCTTGGAGGCATTTGGCTTCTGTTCCACCCACCTGCTGTTTTTTTTACCCACCTCTGCCTCCCTCTCTCCCTTCCCTCTCTCCCTTCCCTCTCTCCCTTCCCTCTCTCCAACCATCCTTCTCCTCCCTTCCTCCGTTCCTCACTTCTTTCCTTCCTTCCTCCCTCCCTCCCTCCCTCTTTCTTCTACTTCCTTCCTTCCTCCCCTACTTCTTTCCTTCCTTCCTCCTTCCCTCCCTCTCTCTGTTCCTCACTTATTTCCTTCCGTCCTCCTTCCCTCCCTCCCTCCCTCTCTCTTCTACTTCCTTCCTTCCTCCCTCCCTCCCTTCCCTACTTCTTTCTTTCTTTCCTTCCTTCCTCCTTCCCTCCCTCTCTCTGTTCCTCACTTATTTCCTTCCGTCCTCCTTCCCTCCCTCCGTTCCTCACTTATTTCCTTCTTTTCTTCTTTCCTTCCTTCCTTCTTTCCTTTCCCCTTCCCTTCCTCCCTCCCTCCCCTACTTACTTCCTTTCCTTCCTTCCCTCCCTCTCTTGCTCCTCTACTTCCTCCTTCCCTTCCTCCCTCCCTTCTCTTCCCTTCTTCCCTCTCTCCCATTCCCTCCCTCCCCCCCTCCCCCGCATGCTTGTACTTATTATTGCCTTAACTCAGCCTTCCCCAGCTGAGTGCCCACCAACTAGGCTGTGCCTACAACTCTTGGCTTTATAGCTAAGAGGGCCGGGAATTCCAGGGGTTGTCGGGATGTAACCAGAGGACCTCTGGTTGGGAACGTCTGCCTTAACTATTTAAAAACTAACAAAAAATAGAAACATTACTACTGAGTACGAAAGAAGGGTTTCGCTGCTCCTTAACAATTGTCCTGATGTGATGGGTTGGATCATTTTTGCCTGACTGGTAAACAGTGAAGACATTTTGATTTATGATCTGTCTAACCAGGCAGGTATTTTTAATAATAAAATAAACCAATAACAGTGGAAGCTGTTGCAGAGTGTCAGAATCCAGGCTGAATTTACTGCAGAAAACTGAGTGAAATCTTGAATAAGCGAAATCCCTTGGTTTAAGCAACCTTTTCTATATTCAGGGCGCAGAAGGAATTGCTTGGCCTGAGATAAAACTAGCCTTAATTTCCCCCCTTCTATTTGCAATCAAGTTATCGGTGAAGAAACATCAATGTTTCTGTGCAGCTGCATTTCCTTCATCCTCCATTGGCTGTCTCACTGGGCCTTCTCCCCACTCGCCCTTGTTCTTGTAGACTGCCAATATAGACCCAGTGGTTGAAACATCTGGTGCCAAAAATATTTTGTTCATCGTTATCTAAGCAGCTTTGACAATTGCACAATGGATAGAAAGGAGAAATTCTGGTGCAAGAGGCAGGGACCACACGTAGAAGCCGGCCGCCCACCAGGCCAAGGAGAGGATTTTGCAGCACACAAACTAGACTAGAGGATGTTCCATTCCAAAGATCCATCTTGTATACTTTTCATTATCACACTCTTGTTTCCTTTTGAAACTTGCTTATGCTCAGTTGCTTATCTGGACAAAAAAGGGAGAGTGGCAGAGCCAGAACGAATATTCCTGAACTTTCCTCAGAAAACAAAATTTCAGATTTATCAGATTTGGTTGTTGCGTTTCCACTCTTCCTCAAACACCCCTCAAAAGTCTCCTGGTGGAAACCAAGAGAAAATTGGTTTTCCACCAAGGGAAATCTACCCATAACCCTGAAATAATTTCCAGCTTCCTTAAAACCGTGGCATTCTGGTGACAGAATCCTCAGAAAAGTCTGAGGTTCTGCAGAAGACCTAGCATGCAGCCTACCTTATGCTGACGTATTTCCTCTCTCGTCAGTCTACATATTTTTCTCATCCAAAAGGTGGTCTCTGCAGTTGGTGTTTGCCAAAGGGATTCCTGTGTAAAGTAGGCTTGTCTTGCAAGTCTGCTGGAAGTAGTTTATATCCTTCAGGTGTAGTTCAGCATGTGACAATTCATAAAACAGATGTCCTTTTGCACGTGGGACGGAGCGGAAATTGATTGTATGGACTGGCAATTAGGAATTCTCTAAACATGAGTCTTTTCTACCACTGACCACTGCAGATGATTTCCTAATTCCCATTTTAATCCCCCCCTCCAAAAAAAAAAACCCCACCCATTTCATTAAAAATCCTTTTACCTTTCTTACATCCTTCCTTCATAGACTGGTAAATGTGAAACTGCCCCCATTCAGTTGTTACAGCAATAAATGAAATTGCCAGATAGATACATATCTGGCAAATCAATGCTTTGCTGCACCGCTTGGAATTTGCCAATAGTGGGGTTCTTTTTTTTAAAAAAAAAAAAAATACTCTGCTCACATATCAAAAGTTTGATCAACATAAGGTAACTGAAGCCACTATAACTCATATTTAGTGTTGGTTTGTTTTTTAAGACATTATTAGTATCTGGTGTGGTTTTTTTTTCCTTTCTGTTGTTTTGGATTTTAACCTATAAATTATATACTTAGTTTGGGGGGGGGGGAAAGAAACATTTATAATGCACAATGTGAACAATAAAATGGTATGGATTTCTCTCCCCATCCTATAGCAGCCACTCAACCCCTCCAGTTTTTATGTATCACTGCTTAGCTTTGAAGTGTTCTGTACATCCACATTGTTTTCGCCTTAATATTAATTTGCATAGCAAACCAATGGAATTAAGCCTCATCCCTGGATGTAGCTTTTGGATAGGTAGGGTGTGGGGCCCAGTGAAGAGATTATGAACTGTTTTATATAGCCCCTCCTCCTTTTGTTTCATTGTTGATTGAACCAACGTGACATTTAAGCTTCCAAACCTGGTTTCTAAACTCAGGTTTAGGACAGTAATAAATGTCCTCACAACATGTTGTGGAAGACTGGGAGAGGGAGCTGTTACACTCATTTGTGTCCACACTGAATCTCCTGAGATGGATGAGTGGAGAGAATGGAGGTTGGGGTTCTCAGATCTTCTGATGCAACACATTTTTCCTCTCCAAGCAGCAATGGGGGCTAGTTTTCCTTTATTGTTTGATGTATTTATTGTTCACCTCTAATTTTTGTGTCGGCTAGATCTGCTCATAGGCCATTAGCAGAACTGCTCCAGATGTGGACACCTATTGAAGAAAGAGCTTGAAAAGGAGAAATGTTTATACAGCAGTTATGGGGTGGGAAGGGGTGGAGGCTGAAAAGGGAACTGCTTGGGCTGAGTTAGTGTGTCTCTGTGTGTGTGTCTGTGTGTGACCTCTCCAAAACTTCCAGATTTTCCCACCCTTGGGCTAGATGACTTATGAACAAGCAAGCTACGGTATATTTTTGAATGAATCCTTGAGGTCATTTTCTTGATTTAAAACCCTTCAGGAGGGGCAGAAGTCAACTGTTCTTGGTTAATTGTTTGGGATAGACCTCTGAACTGGGGGGGAAGGGGGGGCTGGATCCTCACCTGGATGAGGGAAACGTCTCTCAGAGGCTCCATGAAACGATGGTCTCCCCAAACTTCTGCTTCTGTTTGGCCAGAAATTCTTTGGAACCAGTGATGTTATTGTCACTGCAGGGCACAGCCATAGTCCCAATATCCATGCCCAGGTGTGATCATGCGGAAAGAGGATCTCTTGCTGAAATGGTGTGTGTGTGTGTGTGTGTGTGGCCCTGAATCAGGGTACCCTGAGATGGCACATGACCAGCGTGAGGAACAAAATAGCCATCCGTTTTACTTCATCCCATCTTCAGCTACAGAGACCAAATAATTCTGGTACAGTATTAAATCACTAGGCCTGCATGTTGCGCGTACCTTCAAATCCACTGTATCTTGATGCAGTAGCTATCTATATACTCACTCCTTCATTCCTGTCTCTGTCTAATCCAGGTGTGGCAGATAAGAATATCTCTAATGGCTGTTCCCGTGTATTATTATAATAATGATTATTTCAATGATCCAGAACTACTTTGCTACTATATTTCTCGGCCTGTTGTCTCTTAATAAATAGTATTTTCTTTTTCTTTTTCTTTTTTCCCCCTCTGGATATTAGAAGTGCTAGACAACTATTTTATTCTTGAGGTTCAAAAAGTGCCAATGATTTTTTGTTGTTTGTTGTTTAGTAGTTTAGAAATTATTTCTAACCTTTATACCTTTGCGGATCAGAGGGTTTTTATTTTGGGTAAATTTTGAATTTGAACCTAGAAATCGGTTTGTATTTTTAAAAACTTAGTTAATAGCCTTGAGGAGGGGTGGTGTATTAATATAAAAGGAACCTCTACACAATTTGGTGTATTGTAGATTTTAACGAAAGATGTAAAATATTCAGCCTTTTTTTCCCCTTTGACTTTGTATTTTATTGCATGTCATTTCTCTAATTTTTAATCAATAAAAAATATCCATTACTTTTGGGAGTGTTAAAAGTTCTGTTTTCTTTTTTCTGCAGATATCGCAAGTGGTTTACCAATAACACACACACATGGGAAATAGGCACGTGGCATCTTATTATAAATAGTTAAATTGTAATTCTTTGTTTAAAAGTGCTGCTGTTCTGGTAAATACGGCATTAGTTAAAATCAGAATATTTAAAAATTTTCATTGCCTGTTTCTGCCAAGCAGGAACCAATTAAAAGTAGCCCTCAACTTACAACCATTCTTTTAGTGACTGTTTGAGGTTACAATGGCACTGAAAAGAGTGACTTATCATTTTTCATAGTTACGACCATTGTAGCATTCCCATTCTCACGTGATCAGACTTTGGATGCTTGGCAACTGGCATGTACTTATGGCAGTTGCATTGCCTCAGGGTCATGTGATCCCCTGTTGCGACCTCCTGGCAAGCAAAGTCAATGGGGAAACCATTGAACAATTGTGTTACTGACTTAACATCAGTGATCCACTTAACAACTGTGGCAAGATAGGTTGTAAAATGGGGCAAACCTCACTTAACAACTTTCTTGTTCAGCAACAGAAATCTTGGGCTTAATTGTAGTTGTAAGACGAGGACTGCCTGTACCATATTTTCCTCAGAAATATCACTTCGAATTGTGAACATTCAATTACCTGACCACAGTAACTCAATTTCATTGGTCCAAAAGAATTACCTCACAGGATATCCTCCCTGCAGCCGAAGAGACTGTGACCTAACAGGAATGTAGGTGGGAGGAATGACGCCAATCATAACATCCTTCCCCAAGGTTTCCCAATTCAATAGACGTTTCCCAACCTTGGCCACTTGAAGATGTGTGGACTTCAACTCCCAGAATTCCCCAGTCCATATTGAAGCCCACACCTCATCAACCAGCCAAGGTTGAAAAACACTGCAATAATAATAATAATAATAATAATAATAATAATAATAATAATAATAATAATAATAATAAAGTTGGAAGGGACCTTGGAGGTCATCTAGTCCCCCTGCTCAGGCAGGAAACCCTATACCATTTCAGACAAATGGCTGTCCAGTCTCTTCTTAAAAACTTCCAGTGTTGGAGCATTCACCGCTTCTGGAGGCAGGTTGTTCCACTGGTTAATTGTTCTCACTGTCAGGAAGTTTCTCCTTAGTTCTAGGTTGCTTCTCTCCTTGATTAGTTTCCATCCGTTGCTTCTTGTCCTGCCTTCAGGCGCTTTGGAAAATAGTTTGGCTCCCTCTTCTTTGGGGCAGCCCCTGAGATACTGGAACACTGCTATCATGTCCCCTCTCGTCCTTCTCTTCATTAAACTAGACATACCCAGTTCCAGCAACCGTTCCTTATATGCTTTAGGAAGAAGGATGCTCACAACATCTAGGACCTGTAAGAAAGATGGAAGTCTTTCTGGAGGACTACAATTCATTAGCTTCAACTAACTGTGTCCTCAACACCCAAGTTTTTCTTGTCTAGGGTAATTGCAATCAAGTGAGGACCAAAACATGACATGGGAATTTATTTTGGGATCTTGCAGATAATTAGCAAACCAGGGCTCAGACAAGATAGATGGATTGAGCAATCAGCGTATCATACTCTCCAAGACAATCTTGTCTGCTAACCTGTAGCAAGTCTTCCAACAGTCCACCCATCACTTTTGTAACTGAATCCCTCCTCTTTGCTGCTGGTTGCCCCTTTCTTCCTTTTACCTATCCCAATATCATAGACTCCACCAGGGTGCTGGGTGTTTGCATAGAGTGGTTGGCTTATTTATTTATTTATTTATTTATTTATTAAATTTATATACCGCCCTATCTCCCTTGGGGGACTCAGGGCGGTGAACAGGCGATACTAAAAACCACGATAATAAATAAATAGTTTGTTTTAAAATCGAATTAAATAACAGGCCTGTTCTAAAAACACACCCGTAAAAAAACCCCACTGAAACATAATCAAACTACGCCAGGCCGGCCGCACGGAATAGATGGGCCTTCAGGGCTCAGCGAAAAAGGCGCAGGTCCGCAACTGTACGTAGGTCGGGGGGTAGGTCATTCCAGAGGGCAGGAGCTGCCACAGAGAAGGCTCTCCCCCTGGGGGTCGCCAGCCGGCATTGTCTGGCCGACGGCACCCTAAGGAGGCCCTCTCTGTGGGAGCGGACTGGTCGAAGGGAGGTGTTTGGTAGGAGGCGGTCTTGCAAATACCTAGGTCCATTGCCATGGAGCGCTTTAAAAGTTGTTACTAACACCTTGAAGTGCACCCGGAAGGCCACCGGCAGCCAGTGCAGCTCGCGCAGGAGAGGTGTTACATGGGAGCATCTAGAGGCCCCCCAAATCCCCCGCGCAGCCGCATTCTGAACTAGCTGGAGCCTCTGGGTGCACCTCAAGGAGAGCCCCATGTAGAGAGCACTGCAATAGTCCAGGTGGGAAACAACGAGGGCTTGATTACGTGCCATCAAGTTAGGGTTAAGAGTCACACTTTCTCCAGAATGATGTTCTTCAACTTGGTCCTTCATTTCTTCCAAGAGCACACCCATCGACACTGTAACTAAATCCACCCAGCTTCCGGATGGCTGACCTTTCTTTCCGTCTTTCCCAGCACGATACACTTCTCCAGAAAGCAGGATCTTCACACTGACAGATCGATGGACTGATTGTTCCCCATCAAGTTGGTGTTGACTCTAGCCACATGGCCATGTCTAGTTTAATGAAATGAAGGATTAGGGATGACACGATAGCAGTCTTCCAATATTTGAGGAGCTGTCACAAAAAAGAAGGGGTCAACCCATTCCAAAAGATCTGAAGGCCGGACAAGAAGCAACGGATGGAAACTAATCAAGGAGAGAAGCAACCTAGAACTAAGGAGAAACTTCCTGACAGTTAGAACAATTAACCAGTGGAACAACCTGCCTCCATAAGTTGTGTGTGCTCCATCACTGGACAGGTTTAATAAGATATTGGACAATAATTTATTTGAAAGGGAATAGGGCTTCCTGCCTGAGCAGGGGGTTGGACTAGAGGACCTCCAAGGTCCCTTCCAACTCTGTTATTCTGGGTATTTTTTTTTCTAGATATACCTTCTCCAGGATGATCTGTTACCAACCTAATTCTTCAGTTATTTCAATGGTGCACCAATGGCTTTTGCAACTGAGCCATCCCTGTTGATCCTGGCTGTCCTCTTCTACTTCTCCAGAGGGCTAAGTTCTTATAATAATAATAATGATAAAGTTGGAAGGGACCTCGGAGGTCTTCTAGTCCAACCTCCTGCTCAGGCAGGAAACCCTATACCATTTTGGACAAATGCCTGTCCAGTTTCTTCTTAAAAACTTCCAGTGTTGGAGCATTCACCACTTCTGGAGGCAGGTTGTTCCACTGGTTAATTGTTCTAACTGTCAGGAAGTTTCTTCTTAGTTCCGGGTTGTTTCTCTCCTTGGTTAGTTACATAAGGTGTCCAAATCAGACAATGTGCAAACCCATATTAGCATGGTTTTGCACATAGCCTTTAGGATTTCTACAACATGGTTTATAATTATAATGTGTGAATTATGTAAGTTGTCCCTGGTTAGGAGGCCATCAATCATATTACATCATCAATTATATTATTGCCCCCTCAAAAATCCCATCACCCACTCCTCTGATTTCGACTAAATTCTTCAGACTGTCATCCCTGTGAAAAATAGACCTCCCTCTTCAAAAGATATCTTAATTAAGATTTTTGAAAGTGAGACGACACCTCTCTTCCTCTGAGGCTGTCAATCTTTCCATTTCCCTTCACTCTTTTGATGGCTTCTTATGAGCTTTGCTCTCTTTGGTTGGTAAGCTGCAAAGCTGGCAATTAATTTTTTACACAAAGGGTGGTTGTGAAAGTGTAACATGTCATGTATTAAGGCTATTATTAAGAATACCGTTCCTGCACTTCACTGAGTGTCATGTCAAAGTTTATTCTGTGTTTAACCATTAATTCCAGAGGTGGTTGAATCCCAGAGGGCTATTTGAGTAGACAGATTAGACAGAGGGTAGATAGTAGCAGAGAGAAAGGCAGAGAGAAAACAGCCATGACCGATATTGGAGAAATCATCAAAGCTCTTAATGATTTTGGCCGATTCCAGCATTGGCTGGTACTGATGATCGCTATAATTTCACCCTTCATTGGTTTTCATATGTTCAGCCAATTATTCATGGTCCTTCCAGTGTCTCATCACTGCAACACTAATTGGTTGGACACCGTCCGCTTGAACTTGACCGATGAGGAGAAGCTGAATTTGACCATTCCCCGAAAACCCGACGGGACCTTAGAACAATGTCTCATGTATACTCCTGTGGAAACCAACTTGGAGACCGTCCTGCAGTCTGGATTGAATTCAACAGAGAAGTGCCAAGATGGATGGGTTTATCCTTCCAAGCCAAAACCTTCTCTGGTTACCCAGGTTTGGGAATCTCTTTTTCTTCCTGAATTAAATGTTTAGTTTTTTTGTATAAAACTGGGAGATTTTCCTGCCAGGAGTTAAAAGGCAAAAATAAACGAGGAAAACTAAGCATAATATTTGCAATAGAAGTTGTCTCTGGGCAACTGCCTGCAATTAATAAGGAGATTAACCCCCCCCCCCCCACAAGTAGCCTTTTAAAGACCAGACATGGGGGTCTACTCCAGATTGCTACACGGGATGATTGGTTTTTGTTAGAAGAGACACACCATATCACATTGTAACGATCCATTGCCACAATTTTTAGTTACTTTGAAAGTCCAATGGACATGTTCATGTTAAGGACCCAAAGTTCTGTAGAACTTAGATCTCAGAATGAATTCCATCCAATAAAGGAGAATATTTACAGCTCAGAGTTGAAATGAAGGACCCTTGGTGCTCTCTGCACTTGGTTATTTTCTTGCAGATGTTTCATTACCCAAAGCACTGATGATGTTACCTAGTTTGGTAATGAAACATCTGCAAGAACACCAAGGAACCTTGGCTTCCACCCATGTACTTCATCTGGTTTCACTAGATTCATCAACACTATACTTCTTCTGTCCAGGTTCCTTTCTAATGACCCTTGGAGAAGCCTAAAAAAATGATCTGGCCTGGGTTTTTTAATGTTTTCATTTTCCTCCTGCATAGTTGCATTATATTAAGTTTTGGCCACTTTAAAATGTTTGGACTTCAACTCCCAGAATTCCCTAACCGGCATGCATCCAGAGATTTTAAAGTGATCAAAGCTGAGAACCCACCGCATTATATTTGGGTCTGGTAAACCCTTCAGAGCAGTTAGGATTAGGGGATATATTAGTTTCCTAAACAGATAAAGAAGTTTTAGACTATAAGAAAAAAAAAAATTCAAAATCGGTGTGACAGCAATGCATTTATTTGTTTGGCCAACTCAAGGTTGCAAAAGAGAAAGCTTTTAAACTGCCAAGAATTGTTAATCAGATACATTAAAAAAAAGCCTACTAAGAGATTTGAAAGTTTGCCAGTTAGAGATTTGATAGGAAATGAGAAGAAAGACTGAAAAGATTCATTCGAGTATATTCAGCTACAACACATTCTACAGTTTGACTGCCTACAAAGGATGTTAGGTTTTAGAGCTACTCAATCTGGGTTATTAAAATTCAGATGACCTGTAGATGGCAGCAAAGAGATACCGAAAACATCTAACCCCTTGTTGCTATCTAGTGGTGTCTCCTACAAGCAGTAGTCTATCTGAACATTTGCAACCCAAATCTGGTAGCTTCTGTGAAGAAACAAAATCATGAAATCCAGCATTTAACTGCAATCTGACTCAGAAACTCACAGCTCCCTTGGATGATAGAAAACAAGAAATGCAACCTAAAGTCACATTGGCACTTGGATAGTTACCTAGATAGACCAGGGCTCTCCAAATTTCACAACTTTAAGACTTGTGGCTCAGCATGGCTGGGTGAGGAATTCTGATAGTTGAAGTCTACAAGTCTTAAAGTTGCCAAGCTTGGAGACCCCTGAGATAGACCATAACTTAACGTGACTTCGTGATTGAAGAATCTGATATTCTTCTCGCACATCGGCTTTTTGCTACTTGCCACCACAGTAAGGAATCCTATGCCTGCTGGACTATTGCTTCTCAGGATATCAGGGGAGCTAGTTTGGTGCTGTAATGAAGGTGGTGGACAAGAAACCAGGCGATCGAGAGTTCTAGTCCTCCCTTAGGCACACAAGCCAGCCAGGAGACTTTGGAACAGTCCCTCTCTTCACCTCCACCTGGACTTTTCACTCTAGTTCTCCTCAAATTCAGAATCTACCTAGGATAGGGGTCCCCAAGCTCCGAGCCGCAGCCCACCATCAGGCCTTGAACCATTCAGAACCAGGCTGCGGAAGTGAAGAGCAACCACGTGCACATCCCCAATCATGTGAACAGTGGGCGACAGCACGTGCATGAGCTCCATTTGTGTGAGTGGTGGGTGCACGTGCCCACTGCTCACACAAGTGGACCTATGCACGCTTGCCCGCCCCTTGTGCAAATGGAGCTGTGCGTGTGCTTGCCTGTCACGTGCACAAGACCATCCCTTCCCCCTGCCTACCCACCCCCCGGTCTGCAAAGCCGAAAAAGTTGGGGAACTTTGCCCTAGGAGAGTTTTGGCCAATCCTTCCCTGTCACTCCATGAGCTACTTTGATATTGTGGTTAGGATTAGAAGCTGGATTAGAAGCTTGGAAGCTATGAGTTCTAGTTCTGTCTCAGGCACAAAAGCCGGCTAGGTGTCTTTGGGCTAGTCCAGAGGTAGGACACCTTGGCTCTTTTATGACTCGTGGAATTCCTGAGCCAGCATGGCTCAACTTGGAAACTTCTCCCTTTCCCCTCAGCATGGCTGGCTCAGGAATTCTGGGAGTTGAAGTCCACGAGTCATAAAAGAGCCAAGGTGGCTTACCCCTGGGCTAGTCCCTCTCTCCCTCAGCCCAACCCACCTCATGGGTTTGTGGTTGCATGGAAAATAAAAACAAGATTTGGAATATGTGAAGAAGTGCTTCTAAACACCAGCAATGTCTGCTGCTTACTATTAAATATGAGCAGAAAACCTTTCCACGTGGCACTTTCAAAATGCCTTATTTTTATGTGATGCATAGGGTGTCCTCTATGGCAGAGGTCCCCAACCTTTTGGGCACCAGGGACTGGTTCCGTGGAGAGAGGTTTTTCTGCGGACCAGAGGCTGTGTGGTTTTGTGTGCTGCCTGCATCCCATGGATGGGGCTTTGCTTGTTTGTGTGGACCAGTTGCTGGCATGCTGTGGCCCGGTACTGGTCCATGGACCGGGGATTGGGGACCCCTGCTCTATGGTATAAATCAAATAAATCTGACTTTTTAAAAGATTTATTATCAGATTTTTTTAATGCCTCTCCAGTTCCACTAGCTAAGCAATCTGGATGACCACAGTGTCGCAGGATGGATAGTTGGTTGGATTAGACCAGGGCTTTTCAACCTTTTCACCCATTGTACCACTTTTAGGATATGGCAACATCCGAGTACCATCAGTCGCCTAGCAAGGTGTCAAAAACTTGATGACCCCCCCCAAAAAGGAAAAAAGTGATAAAGTACAGGTAGTCCTCGACTTACAACAGTTCATTTAGTGACTGTTCGAAGTTATAATGGCACTGAAAAAAGTGCCCCACAAGCCACAGCCGAGCAAGACACCTGCCTGCCCACCCAGTGGCGCTCTTCCTCCTGTCCGAGGTTTTCATTGTTGTGAGCATTTCTGTTGAGAATTGGCAGGGGGGATGGGGTGGGGGGGGGTGTTTGGTTTTTATTCCCCCCATCTGCTGGGTGGTTGCAGCAGGTTTTGGTCACTTCACATGACCCTGGGACACTGTGACTGTCATAAATATGAATCAGTTGCCAAGCATCTGAGTGTAAATCACAAGACCCTGGAGATGCTGCAACATTCCAGCTGATCGGCGCTTCTTCTGGGCTCAGCGGAAGCACCAGGATCAGCGCCGAGCTCCAGCTGGAGCCTGGCACTGATCCTGGTGCTTCCACTGAGAACCCGACAGCCCTGCAGCTCCAGCTATCTCTCGCTCAGGCTTGTGCGGTGCTGCCGCCGGTTCAGCTCATTCCCCTCCCCCGCTACCATTTTTCTAGGATGGTCGCGTACCACCTGCCAGGTGCCAATGTACCACAGGTGGTACCCGTAGCACAGGTTGAAAAGCCCTGTCTTATAGGTCCAACAAAAATACAAATGAAAGGATCAAAACTAAGAAGAGATTGGTCAGCCATTTGTCCAGAATGGTATATGGTCTCTTGCTCAAGCAGTAGTTTGGACCAGAAAAACAAAGATGATTAGGGGACTGGAGGCTAAAACATACAAGGAAAGGTTGCTGGAATTGGGTATGTCTAGTTTAATGAAGAGAAGGATGAGGGGGGGGTACATTATAGCAGTGTTCTAATATCTCAGGGGCTGCCACAAAGAATAGGGGGGTCAACCTATTCTCCAAAGTATCTGAAGGCAGGACAAGAAGCAACAGATGTAAACTAATCAAGGAAAGGAGCAACCTGGAACTAAGGGAGAAATTTCCTAACAGTGAGAACGATTAACCAGTGGAACTGCTTGCCACCAGAAATTGTGGATGCTCCAACACTGGAGGATTTTAAGAAGAGATTGAACCACCATCTGTCTGAAATGTTATAGAGTTTTCTGCTTGAGCAGGGGATCGGACTAGAAGACCTCCAAGGTCCCTTCCAATTCTGTTCTTCTATTAAAACTGATGGTAGAAAAAGACCAAAGTGGTCTACTGAGTCTGCCTTTCGAGGCTTTTTTATTTTTTTTTAAGTGTCAGATAGTGGACCTGTGTTTATCCCAAGCATGTTTAAAATCAGTTACTGACAATTGGACCCCCTACCTCCACTGGAAGTTGGTTCCAGGCTTCCGATATTTCTCTGAAGCAAGACTTTCTAACATGGCTTCTGAACTTCCTTCCTGCCAGTTTGAAGTGATGCCCTCATGTTCTTGATTTTTGCTTAATATTGAAAATGCCTTCTAGACCAGACATGTCAAACACAAGGCCCGTGGGCTGGATGCAGCCCGCGAAGTGGTTTCATGTGGCCCACGAAGCCATCCTGGAAACAGTGAGGGAACGGCCCCACTGCCTTGGCCCTGGCCCAGGCCGGCTGGGAGCCAATGTACAATTTTGTGGTGGCCATCTTGGCACTTGCCCCGGTGGACTATGTCTTGGCACTTGCCCCAGTCCCACCCCCTTCTGCCAGAGACCCTCAGATCTGTCCCACTCCTGCCCAGGCCCCCATAGGCACCCTTGACACGAACGATGTGGAACTGGCCATGCCCACCCAGTAGGCTACTCCCACTCCATCCATGCTCACCCAGAAGGCTGCACCCACTCTGGCAACACCCACCCGGGCCCCCCAGGGCAATTGCAATGCTGATGTGGCCCTCAGTGAAATTGAGTTTGACACCCCTGTTCTAGAACCTTATTCAAACCCTTAACACACCAGGTAGTCCTCAAGTTATGATCACAGCTGAGCCCAAAATTTATGTTGCTACGTGAAACATTTGTTATGTGAGTTTTGCCCCATTTTACGGCTTTTTTTGCCATCGTTGTTAAGTAAAATCATTGCACTTGTTAAATTAGTGACCCGGTTGTTAAGTGAATTTGGTTTTCCCATTGACTTTGCTTGTCAGAAGGTGGCAAAAGGGGATCACGTGACCCTGGGACACTGCAACGGTCATAAATATGAGTCAGTTGCCAAGCATCTAATTTTGATCACCTGACCATGGGAATGCTGCCACGGTCGTAAAGGTGAAAAATGGTCATAAGTTACTTTTTTCAGTACCGTTGTAATTTTGAATGGTCACTAAATGAACAGTTGTAAGCTGAGGACTATATGTATTTAAAAGTTTCAATTATGTCCCACACATACACACACACTCCAACACTGGAAGTTTTTAAGAAGAGACTGGACAGCTATCTGTCTGAAATGGTGTAGGGTTTCCTGCCTGAGCAGGGGGTTGGACTAGATGACCTCTAAGGTCCCTTCCAACTTTATTATTATTATTATTATTATTATTATTATTATTATTATTATTATTATTATTATTATTATTATTATTATGGATCATCGCACAGTCAGCCAGATGTTCAGACTGGATACTACTACTACTACTACTACTACTACTACTACTACTACTACTACTACTATTATTATTATTATTATTATTATTATTATTATTATTATTATTATTATTATTATTATTATTATGACTTGGCTTGTCTCTGAACTAGCTCAATCTTACCAATGTCTTTTTTTAAGCCAAGTTTCTAGAACTGGACACAATATTTCAAACAGGGTCTGCCTAAAGTCCTATGTAGCACGATTAGGACCTCCTGTTTCTTGTTGGTGATCCCTCTTGTAATGCATGTACCACGATCGTGGAATAAGTTATCTCCTCTGTCTGGTTCCTTTTCATTAAATATTTTTTCCTTTCCTCCCTTAAGTTCTCCCTGGTGTGTGACAGAAAGGATTTAATTGATATCTCACAGTCCGTCTTCATGTCGGGCCTCCTCGTTGGAGCAATTGTGTTAGGACCGTTGAGCGATTGGTAAGGCGACCAAAATAATGGATGGAAGATAGCAACTTATGGCTGGAAGGAAACTTGGGATGGGGCAGAAGAGGCTGGTTTGGAAGACAAACCAGGGGATCATAGGGGTGGCTTCCAAAAACTAGGCATCCTTTATGACCAGCTAGGCCAAGGGTCTTCAAACTTGGCCCTTTTATGACTGATGGACTTCAACTCCCAGAATTCCTCAGCCAGCATGCGCTGGCTGAGGAATTCTGGGAGTTGAAGTCCATCAGTCATAAAAGGGCCAAGTTTGAAGACCCCTGAACTAGGCAAATCTTTCACACGTCCAGGTGTGGAACTGGAGAAGGGGGGTCTTCAAGAGAGCAAAATGACCTGCTTTAGTCTTTGCTGACATCAAACCAGGAGCAGACATGGAATAGAGTACAGGTAGTCCTCGCCTTATAAGTACAATGGAGCTCCAGATTTCTGTTGCTAAGTGAGACCTTTGTAAGTAAGTATGTTTTGCTCCATTTTACCACTTTCCTTGCCAAAGTTGTTAAGAGAATCACTGCAGCTGTTAGGTTAACTGAGTTTTGCCTCATTTTACAACCTTCCTCGCCACAGTTGTTAAGTAAATCACTGCAGTTGTTAAGTTAATAACACGGTCGTTAAGCGAATCTGGCTTCCCCCATTGACTTTTCTTGTCAGAAGGTCACAAAAGGAGATCACATGACCCTGGGACACTACGACTGTCATAAATACAAGTCAGTTGCCAAGCATCTGAAATTTGATCATATGACCGTGGGGGACATTTCAAAGGTCGAGAATGTAAAAAAATGGCCCTAAATCTACTTTTTAAAGTGCTGTTGTAACTTCGGTCACTAAATGAACTGTTGTAAGTTGAGGACTACCTGTATTCTAAAAAAGGTTAGAGCAGGGTTGTCAAATTGCTGGCCCTCGGGCCGGATGCATCATCCGGAAGCCACGCCCACCCCATTGCCGGCAATGGCAAAATCGGCCCGATACGTTGCGCAACATCACATGATGTCGCGAGTTTGACACCCCTGGGTTAGAGCAAGTTGTTTGGAACTTTTGCCATTCACTAAGCAAATTTTTGGAACTGAGGGTTGATCTGGACTGATGGCTGAGTATTTCTTTTGGGGGTTAAGGTCCATATCTGGATAGACTTCCACCTGCTCGGAAAGCGCTACAAACATTTTTGGTTGTGGTCCTAAGCTTAGATGAAAGAACTCCCTCTGAAAGTAGCTCTCAACTTACAAATACAACTGGGACCCATCACAAGACACATCACAAGACCCTCTCTTGACACACCCACACACGAAGCCTTTATAAGCAGAAGAATACAGACACTGACATCCCCTAAACCAGGGTTAGGCCACCTTGGCTCTTTTATGACTCGTGGACTTCAACTCCCAGCCATGCTGAGGGGAAAGGGAGAGGTTTCCAAGCTGAGCCATGTTGGCTCAGGAATTCTGGGAGTTGAAGTCCACGAGTCATAAAAGAGCCGAGGTTGCCTACCCCTGCGACTCTGATTATGATGTTACCTAGCCTGGTAACAAACCTTTTGGAAACCAACCCATAAACTCGGATAAACCTCCACCCTCATCCTACACCAGAGCTAGAAATATTTGCCGCTATTGCGGAATTTTTGTAGTTAAGCAAAGTGGTCGCTAAGTGAGTTGAGCTTGATTTTATGACCTTTTCGCCATGGTTGTTAAACGAGTCACTGCGGTTAAGTAAAGCGCGTGGCTGTTAACCAAATCCAGCTTTCTCCAGTTAGAAGCTGACTGGGAAGGTTGCAAAAGGTGATCGCTGCATCCGTCGTAAATGTAGGATTTTGATCACGTGACTGTGGGGATGCTGTGATGGCTGCGTGAGGATTGGGTTTTTTAGTCATTTTTTTTCCAGCGCTATTGTAAGTTTGAACATGGTTGTAAATCGAGGTCTACTTGTAATGGCAAACTTAACCAAACATTCTTCTCCTTCAGGTGTGGCCGACGACCCATTGCCTTGTTATCTCTGTTCCTGGAAGGGGTGGCTGGAGTTGCTGTAGCCTTTGCCCCCAGTTTTTACCTCTATTGTGCACTCCGATTTCTGCTAGGAGCAGCTCTTTCCGGGATCTCAATAAGCAGCATAGCTCTTTGTAAGTCCTTAACCTAAACCTGGGATGTGCATTTACTTACGGGTGATTATAAGAACCCTGCTGGCGCAGTGGTTAGAATGCAACACTGCAGGCTGACTCTGCCCATAGCCAGCAGTTCGATCCTGACCGGCTCAAGGTTGACTCAGCCTTCCATCCTTCCGAGGTTGGTAAAACGAAGACCCAGATTGTTGGCGGCCACAGGCTGACATTGTAAACCTCTCAGAGAGGACACTGGATGCAGTATTCCAGTTCTGGTCTTAAAATATAGCCTGATGGGAGAAATAATTTATTACTTTCATCCACAGTAGTTAGAATGCAGTACTGCAGGCTACTTCTGCTGAAGTTATATAAGTCTAACTGCTATCGCTATCTATCTGTCTGTCTGTCTGTCTGCCTGCCTGCCTGCTTCTCTATCTATCTATCTATCTATCTATCTATCTATCTATCTATCTATCTATCTATCTATCTATCTATCTATCTATCTATCTATCTGTCTGTCTGTCTGTCTGTCTGTCTGTCTGTCTGTCTGTCTGTCTGTCTGTCTGTCTGTCTGTCTGTCTGTCTGTCTGTCTGTCTGTCTNTCTCTCTCTCTCTCTCTCTCTCTCTCTCTCTCTCTCTCTCTCTCTCTCTCTCTCTCTCTCTCTCTCTTTATCTATCCATCATCTATCTGAATCTAAATGAGGGCAAAGATTGTTGGGGGGCAACAGGCTGACTGTAAACCCCTCAGAGAGGGCTGTAAAGCACTGTGAAGCGGTATATAAGTCTAAGTGCTAAGTGCTGTTGTCTTTGATGATTAATGCTGATGTTGATGATTTGGTTATTCCGAGTCTTAAACAATTTAGATGAAGAGACCGAAGGGGAACTCATCAGATTTGCATGGGGTGAGATAGCAGGCTGACCTCTGCTTTTTTCCCCCCTCTGATCTTTCACAGGCACTGAATGGGTCGGCATTGCCTATCGTCCACACACCCTGATTGTTAGTCATGTGACTTTTGCTTTGGGACAAATGATCCTGGCTGGCTTAGCTTACGGCCTTCAGGATTGGCGGCACCTTCAGATTGCTGGTTCTGCCCCAATTTTTCTTTTCTTTTTCTACATATGGTAAGTACTGGGTTCAAACCCTGCTGTTAGCTCCTTTTAAGATTTGGTTGGATGTATAAATGGATTTTTAGTATGACACCAAATATCTTCCAAGCTGTGTAACCAAGAAGCATTGTGTAAACATTATACACAGGTAGTCCTTGTGACCACAACTGACCCGAAAATTTCTGTGGCTAAGTGAAACATCGTTGTTAAGTGAGCTTTACCCCATTTTACGACCTTTCTTGCAACAGTGCAGTTGTTAATTATAAAGTTGTTAAGTGAATCTGGCTTTCCCATTGATTTTGCTTGTTAGAAGGGAATCACAAAAAGGGATCACATGACCCCGGGATACTGCAACTGTCATAAGTACAAGTCAGTTGCCAAGCATCTGAATTTTGATCACGTGACCAGGGGGATGCTCCAACAGACTTAAGGGTGAAAAACGGTCATAAGTCACTTTTTTCAGTGCTGTTGTCACTTTGAATGGTCACTAAACGAACTACTGTAAGCCAAGGACTACGATATACAGGTACCTCTTGCTTAATGACTAGTCACTTAACAACTGACAAATTCAAAAAAGTTACTTGCAACACATCTTAAAAGTTATAGTTGATGCACATCCGTCCTGCAATTTCATGATCACATTTCAGGTACCTGGTTCAAATTTACAGCTGTGATTTGCAAAGTTTTTTGCCTTTTTCCAGCCAAAAACAATTAAAAAAAATGCACATTGGATATACTGGATTTGCTTAAAGACTATTTGGTTTGATTAACGACCACGTGATTTTCTTAATGACCGTGGTAACTCACTTTACAATCACTGTAAAAATGATCGTAAAATTGAGTCAGGTAACATGATGACTTGCACAATGATCACAACAACTTACAATCAAAATTCCGGGTCTAATCGTGGTCATTAAGCGAGGACTACCTGCATATACAGTATCTGCCAGAAAAGAAAGAAAGAAAAAGAAAAAAAGAAGAAAAGCAACTCATGAGAGAGAAACAGAAGAACTGTTAATTAAAATTAATTTCATGTAAAAGAACCGTCATTTATTATTTTTGTGCTAGCCCTCATGGATAGGGCAAGGAAAAATGGGGTATCAATCAAAAAAATTGACATGGCAGTGTGGCAAGCCTTGACTTTTTTTTACATGCATTGCATGTGAACACAAGAAAAAGGAGGCTTGACCCCTTGACCCGTCGTGACCCTTTTGACCCTCTATCCAAGGATAGTCCTGGACTCTAGAAAGAGTGCAGAGAAGAGCAACAAAAATGATTAGGGGGCTGGAGGCTAAAACATACAAGGAACTGTTGCTGGAATTGGGTATGTCAAGTTTAATGAAGAGAAGGACGAGGGGGGACATGATAGCAGTGTTCCAATATCTCAGGGGTTGCCATAAAGAAAAGGGAGTCAAGCTATTCTCCAAAGCACCTGAGGGCAAGACAAGAAGCAACGGGTGGAAACTAATCAAGGAGAGAAGCAACCTAGAACTAAGGAGAAACTTCCTGACAGTGAGAACAATTAACCAGTGGAACAACCGGCCTCCAGAAGCGGTGAATGCTCCAACACTGGAAGTTTTTAAGAAGAGACTGGACAGCCATTTGTCCGAAATGGTATCGGGTTTCCTGCCTGAGCAGGGGGTTGGACTAGATGATCTCCAAGGTCCCTTCCAACTTTTTTATTATTATTATTATTATTATTATTATTATTATTATTATTATTATTATTATTATTATTATTATTATTATTATTATTATTATTATTATTATAGTTCTGTCTCAAGTGGTCAGTTTGAGAGATATTTTGTGTCATTTGATAGAGATGCCATCTCTCCAAAATCTGAAATTATTTGCTTGCTTGCCGCACCAATATTTTTCAGGGTCCTTCCTGAGTCCGCTCGGTGGCTTGCAATGAAAGGCAAAGTAGAGGAAGCTAAAAAACTTCTCCAAAAAGCAGCCTCCGTAAACAAGCGAACCATCCCTCCGAAACTGTTAGAGCAGGTAAGTTTTTGTTTCGTTTTGTTTTCTGTTCCTGCAAAGTTATTTTTGCAGAGAGTCCAAATCAAATGTAGTTGGGAGCAACTTGGGAATGAAGAAATTGTCCAATGAGCAGGAGGAGGTTTTTAAGAAAAGACTGGACAACCATTTGCCCTGCTTTAGTCAGGAAGTTGGGCTAGAAAACCTTCCATCTTTCTACCAACCGTGTGACTCTATTTCTATTTATTAAGCCACTCTCAGGCATGCATTGCCTAAGCGCCCTTTGCATTATATTTTATGTATTTATTTATTATTAGCTGTACCCAACCACGCGTTGCTGTGGCTCAGTCTGGTAAAAGCGTGTGTTGCTTTTACGTCCAACAGATGGCGCTGTTTTTCAAAAAAAGCATGTTTTTACCTGTCACAGGTGTGACATCTATATAATATAGGTATATAAAAACACGCGCGTATTCGAATGCAACGTTGTGTCAACATTTCAAAGCAATCGGTAAAGAACTTTCGGAGATTTAAGATTTTGAACAAACAAACATTTACATTTTTATTTATATAGTTTAAGAAATTTTATATGGCCAGCCTACTCACTCACGGTGGCTTACATAAAAGCCCTGTATAAAAATCATCTCCCTGGTGACAACAATCAGATCCACAACTTGATGGACCTGATGGTCAAATCAAGTCTTTGGGGCCTTTCGGAAGGGGGTCAAAGTGGGGGCCGGTCTTATCTCTGCAGGGATGTTGTTCCATAGGGAAGGAGCCACCACGGAGAAGGCCCTTCTTCTTGGTCCCTCTAGTTGGACCTTCTTAAGGTTAGGAGCCCATAACATTCCCTGCCTCCCTGGTCTGGCTGTGGTCCTTCAGTAATTTTTGGCTACAGTTCCTTCTCTTATCTATGAAGCTTCTTAGTCATCCAAGTCATGGTTGTCTCAAGGATACTTTTTTTAAAAAAAGACCATTGGACTATGTTTTTTTCCCCTTGAGGAAAAAGAATTCATTTTGCTTCTCATTTAATTTATTTGTTTTAGAGAATTTATATAGCTGCCTACTTGCTCACAGCGACTCTAGGCAGCCTACAGACAATAAAAACACAATTTAGAAAAAAATAATAAAATAACACATACACACACACACACCGCAGCAACATACACTCATACCAGCCACTCAATGGGCTCCATCCTGCTCCGAGTTCCTCAGAACCACGTCTTTAGGGCCTTACAAAAGAGTGTCAGTGTGTGGGGGGGCAGTTTAATTTCCAGAGTGATGATGTTCAAGAGAGAGGGAGCCACCACGGAGAAGGCCCTTCTTCTGGTCCCACCAGATGCCCCTCCTTAGGGGACAGGGGACCCCCCCAACATTCCTTGCCTCCCCACTCAAGTGGTACAGGTGGGTGTGATCTGCAAGAGACGGTGCCTGAGGTAACCTGGTCCCAAGCCATGAAGGGCTTTAAAGGTGATAACCAGCACTTTGAATAGCACCTGGAAGCAATTTGCCGGAGAAGTGTCACATGCACACACTGAGGTCTGCACATTTTGAACCAACTGGAGCTTCCAGATGCTCTTCAAGGGCAGCCCCATGTAGAGCGGCAGCCAGAACTGAGGAAGCTTCTTGGATGAGAAATGAAATGTCTCCTTCAGAAAATCCATCTGTCAAAACAGATGGTGAACGGCCACCATCTTGACTCCTTCCATCCATGGATGCCTCTGGGTATTTTTGCAGTCCTTCGTGGTGAGCCACTTCTACAGAAAGTCGAGACTTTTGCAGATCAAGATGATATTCTAGTTAGTCTGAGATTATGTCCCAGCCTTATGGGTTCTGGGGTTCTAGACTCAGAGACTAGCATAAAACTATCAACTTCAGGGATAGGCCACCTTGGCTCTTTTATGACTCGTGGACTTCAACTCCCAGAATTCCTGAGCCAGCATGGGGGAACTATGGCCCCCTCATGACTCATGGACTTCAACTCCCAGAATTCCTGAGCCAGCATGGCTCAGCTTGGAAGCTCTCCCTTTCCCCTCAGCATGGCTGGCTCAGGAATTCTGGGAATTGAAGTCCACCAGTCATAAAAGAGCCAAGGTTCCCCACCCCTGCCCTATATCAGGGGTCCTCAACCTTGGCAACTTTATGACTCGTGGACTTCAACTCCCAGAATTCCTGAGCCAGCATGGCTCAGCTTGGAAATCTCTCCCTTTCCCCTCAGCGTGGCTGGCTCAGGAATTCTGGGAGTTGAAGTCCACGAGTCATAAAAGAGCCAAGGTGGCCTACCCCTGATCTAGTTGCTTACATTATCTTTAAGCCTTTTTTTTAAAAAAAAGGATCCGGAATAGATAAATCACATTATCTCCATAATAATGTTATTGTGCGCAAGTGACGTTAGACATAATAATATTTTTTATTTAATGAACATTTGAGAAGAACGGACATTCCCTTCCTGAAATACTGTTAAACAGAGATACAGGTAGTCCTCAACTTACGACCACAATTGAGCCCAAAATTTCTGTTGCTAAGAGACACAGTTGTTAATTGAGTTTTGCCTCATTTTACAACCTTCCTCGCCACAGTTGTTAAGTAAATCACTGCAGTTGTTAAGTTAGTCACACAGTTGTTAAGTGAATCTGGCTTCCCCCATTGACTTTGCTCGGCAGAAGGTCGCAAAGGGGATCACACGACCTCCCCGGGGTGCTGCAGCCCGTCATAAATGTGAACCAGTTGCCAGATGTCTGAATTTTGATCACGTGACTAGGGGGAGACTGCAATGTTCATTAAGTGTGAAAAAGTCACTTTTTTCAGTGCTGTTGCATCTTCAACGGTCACTAAATGAACTATTGTAAATCAAGGACTATCCGTAGTTATGGTTCAACACATCTGGAGAGGTGACTAACCAGAAGCCTGCCTAGAAGGGGAAAACAAGTTCCCAGAATAGTAAAGATGAAAAAGGGACATTCTCCTGCACGCTTTTATTCTTTCATTTTCTCATCTTTTAATAAAGCTAAAACTTGAAAAGAAAGCCAAGTCTTCAACAACATTTTTGGATCTCGTTAGAAATCCCCAATTAGCAAAAGTGACCCTGATAATTTCCCTAATCTGGTAAGTATGTTGTGTCTTTCATAGACAATTCAAATGCTTTGATAAAAGTAACAATTTTCAACTAAAACAAGAGTTCAGAAAGTTCACCTTCCTGGGAAAAAAAATATTAATCTAACCGGGGCTAATCAGGCCCATAGGCGTAATTCTCACTCAATAAACGAATTTAAAGTGGCCTTGGAGAAGATATCAAAGAGTTGTTAAGTTGTTGTTAAGAAGGAGCATGGATAAGAGACTGCAACCGGTGGAAAACAGAAGGCATGTGTGAAAACGGAAGTCAAAATAATCCCACGATTTTGTTTAATGTTAGGTGAAGAAGAGAGAATTTCAGAGAGATTGATATCGTCTCTTTGATGTTGATGAAGTCAAGGAACAGATTGCAAGGATTCCGGAAATGCTACATTATTGTTGTAGGGTGTAATAGCTGAAAACTGAAAAAAATATCCTGGGGTTTAGGGGTGCTCCTCTTTGAGACCCTCTTTAATGCCCCCTACCCTACTTTCCCCAAAGTCAGCTCTCTCTGTAACTTTACCAAATAAGAGAGAAAGGGAGATTTGCTTACCTAGCCTTCTATTCACATAAGCAGTCCTCAACTTACAACCACAATTGAAACTGGAACTTCCATCACTAAGTGAGGCAATTGTTAAAATGAATGACATCTGATTTTATGAACTTTTTGCCACAGTTAAGTTAATTCATTAAATGAATCTGGCTTCCCCTGTTGGCTTTTCTTGTTGAAAGCTGGCTGGGACAGTTGCAGAGAGCAGTGGCCTGATTTCCAGGATGTTGTAACTGTCACACACACACACACACACACACACTTGTAGGTTGCCAAGTGCTTGAATTGCAATCAAGTGACGACAGAAATGCTACAAGAGTCATAAGTGCGAGGAGAAGTCCTATCTCTCTTTTTTTTCAGTGGGGTCATAACTTCCATCAGTTGCTAAATGGATGATCATAAGTCAAGGACTGTGTGCGTAGCTATTTAAGTGCCTCTCCTGCAAGTTTTTCATACATCCCTGTAAAAATAGCATTGATTTGGGGAATAGGAAAAGAAAATGTAGTATTTATCAACTTTATGTTGTGTATTCTCCTTTTAATGGTAACAATTTCTCCTTCCTTCCTTTCTTCCTTCCTTCCTTCCTTCCTTCCTTCCTTCCTTCCTTCCTCCTTTCCTCCCTTCCTCCCTCCCTTCCTCCCTCCCTTCATTACTCCTTCCTTCTTCCTTTTCTTCCTCCCTTTTTTCTCCTTCCTCCCTTCCTTTTTTCTCCCTCTTTTTCCTTCCTCTCTTGTTTCCTTCACCATTACTTTTATTCCTCCGTCTTTCCTTCCCCTCTCATTTCTTCCGCCCTTCCTTTTATTCCTCTCTCTCTTTCTCCCCTCCCTCCCTCCTACATTATTCCTCCTCCTTCCTTTTCTTTCTCCTTCCTTTTTTCTCTTTCCTTCCCTTTTTTCATCCTCCCTCTCTTTCCTTCCCCTCTCATTTCTTCCACCATTCTTTTCTTTTATTCCTCTCTCTTTCTCCCCTTCCTTCCTTCCCTCCCTCCCTCCCTCTCCTTCCCCGTCTCTCCTTCCTTCCTTCCTTCCTTCCTTCCTTCCTTCCTTCCTTCCTTCCTTCCTTCCTTCCTTCCTTCCTTCCTTCCTTCCTTCCTTCCTTCCCCCTCTCCCTCTCCTTTCCCCTCCCTCCTTCCCTCTCCTTCCTTCCTTCCTCTCTCCCTCCCTCCCTCCCTTCTCTTAGGTTTGTCAATAGTTTGGCCTACTATGGATTAAGCCTGAACATTGGCAGCTTCGGCCTGAATATCTACTTGACGCAGGTCATCTTTGGGGCGGTTGAAATCCCGGCCCGAATCCTTTGCGTCTTCCTTATGCAATGCTTGGGAAGGAAGAAGTGCCAGTCGCTGTCTCTCCTCCTGGGGGGGATCTTTTCTCTTCTGATCAGCGCCGTGCCCAAAGGTGGGGTTCTAATTAAGAGCATTCCCACATTTTGCTAAACTGGAATGGTTGTAAACAGATAGTGCTCGGTTTATGATCATGGCATAGGCCAGGGGTAGGCCACCTTGGCTCTTTTATGACTCATGGACTTCAACTCCCAGAATTCCTGAGCCAGCCACGCTGAGGGGAAAAGGAGAGTTTCCAAGCTGAGCCATGCTGGCTCAGGAATTCTGGGAGTTGAAGTCCACGAGTCATAAAGCGGCCTAGACCTAGGCCAGAGGTAGGCCACTTTGGCTCTTTTATGACTGGTGGACTTCAACTCCCAGAATTCCTGAGGCAGCCATGCTGAGGGGAAAGGGAGAGGTTTCCAAGCTGAGCCATGCTGGCTCAGGAATTCTGGGAGTTGAAGTCCACGAGTCATAAAGCGGCCTAGACCTAGGCCAGAGGTAGGCCACCTTGGCTCTTTTATGACTCGTGGACTTCAACTCGCAGAATTCCTGAGCCAGCCATGCTGAGGGGAAAGGGAGAGGTTTCCAAGCTGAGCCATGCTGGCTCAGGAATTCTGGGAGTTGAAGTCCACGAGTCATAAAAGAGCCAAGGTGGCCTACCCCTGGTATAGACCAAAAGCATTTCCTCATCTGAAATACTATTAAACAGAGATATAGGTAGTCCTTGACTTACCACTACAACTGACCCCAAAATTTCTGTCGCTAAGCAAGGCAGTGGTTAAGTGAGTTTTGGCCCATTTTATAACCTTTTTTTGCCACAAGTGTTAAGCAAATCACTGCAGTTGTTAAGTGAATCATGCGGTCATTAAGCAAATCTGGTTCCCCCCAATGCTTGTCTGGGAGAGTTACAAACAATAATCCTCAGATCTTGGGACAGTGAATCTGTCATAAGTACCAGCCAGTTGCCAAGCGTCTGAATTTTGATCATGTGACCATGGGGATGCTGCATTGGTCATAAGTGTGTAAAATGGTCATAAGTCACTTTTTTTTAGTGCTGTTGTAACTTTGAGTAGTTACTAAATGAATGTTTGTAGGTCGAGAACTCCCTGTCAAGCATAAGTGGCTGGGTTTGCACATCCCACTAAGTTTTGAATCAGGATAACTGGGTTTCTATGACAGTTTATTACAGAAGCAAAGCAAAGCACATGTGAACTAGTGCTGGCATTTTGTTAGTTATTACCAATGCTTTTATTAACATGGGAAGTCCTTGACTTATAGCCACAGGATTTCTAAGGAAGGTGGTTATTACATGCCCAATTTTACACTCTTTTTTTGCCACAGTTGTTGTTTAAACAACCTAGAACTAAGGAGAAACTTCCTGACAGTTAGTAACAATTAACCAGTGGAACAACCTGCCTCCAGAAGCGGTGAATGCTCCAGCACTGGAAGTCTTTAAGAAGAGACTGGACAACCTTTTGTCGGAAATGTTATAGGGTTACCTGCCTGAGCAGGGGGTTGGACTAGATGACCTCCAAGGTTTTCTTCTTCTTAATAGTAGTAGTAGTAGTAGTAGTAGTAGTAGTAGTAGTAGTAGTAGTAATAGTAGTAGTAGTAGTAGTAATGATGATGATGATGATGATGATGATGATGATGATGATGATGATGATGATGATAATAAAGTTGGAAGGGACCTTGGAGGTCATCGAGTCCAACCCCCCGCCCAGGCAGGAAACCCCACACCACCTCGGACAAATGGCTATCCAGTCTCTTCTTAAAAACCTCCAGTGTTGGAGCATTCACCGCTTCTGGAGGCAGGTTGTTCCACTGGTTAATTGTTCTCACTGTCAGGAAGTTTCTCCTTAGTTCTAGGTTGCTTCTCTCCTTGATTAGTTTCCATCCATTGCTTCTTGTCCTGCCTTCAGGCGTCTTGGAGAATAGCTTGACTCCCTCTTCTTTGGGGCAGCCCCTGAGATATTGGAAGACTGCTATCATGTCCCCCCTCGTCCTTCTCTCCGTTAAACTAGACATACCCAATTCCAACACCTTTCCTTATATGTTTTAGCCTCCAGTCCCCTAATCATCTTTGTTATTGTTGTTGTTGTTGTTGTTGTTGTTGTTGTTGTTGTTGTTGTTGTTGTTGTTCTTCTTCTTCTTCTTCTTCTTCTTCTTCTTCTTCTTCTTCTCCTCCTCCTCCTTCTTCTCCTTCTCCTTCTCCTTCTCCTCCTCCTCCTCTTCCTCTTCCTCTTCCTCCTCCTCCTCCTCCTCCTTCTCCTTCTGGCTTCCCCCATTGATTTTGCCTGTTGGAAAGCTTGTTGGTGATCACATGACTCCAGGACGCTGCTACCATTGTCAAGGCATGCCAGGCACCCAAATTTTGATCACATGACTATGGGGATGCTACGAGAGCCCTTAGTGCAAGGACCGGTCATGAATAACTTTTTTCAGTGCTCTTTGTAACTCAAATGGTCCCTTTAAAAATTGTAAGTCAAGGAACTCCCTGTATTCATAGTCAATCACTATGAGTGAATATAGAATGAAAGAAGGTGGTTTCAGGGGCCTATGAAATTCAGATCATTTTGTCGTTATTGCCTCTCTTATTTCGGATTTTCTGTCTCTTCATATCTGGTTTTTCTTCCCAGATTTACCTGTGGTAATCACCATGCTGGCTGTCCTTGGAAAGTTTACCATGGCAGGCTCATTTTCAACATCCTATGTATATTCAGCAGAACTGTTCCCGACTGTTATCCGGTGAGGCTATTTAACAACCACAAGCAAAATTTTAAAGTGTTTTAAGTCTAAAACAGGGCTCTTCAAACATGGCCCTTTTATAACTTGTGGACTTCAACTCCCAGAATTCCTCAGCCAGGCACGCTGGCTGAGGTATTCTGGGAGTTGAATTCCACAAGTCATAAAAGGGCCAAGTTTGAAGACCCTTGGTCTAAAAGAATTACAGAGGCGGAAGGGACCTTGGAGGTCTTTTAGTCCAACCCCCTGCTCAGGCAGGAGACCCTATACCATTTCAAACAAATGGTTGTCCAATCTCTTCTTAAATGCCTCCAATGATGGAGCACCCACAACTTCTGGTGGCAAGGAGTTTCACTGATTAATTGCTCCCACTGCCAGGAAATTTCTAGGTTGCTTCTCTCTTTGAAAGGTCTCCATCTGTTACTTCTTGTTTTGGAGAATAGGTTAACCCCCTCTTCTCTGTGACAGCCCTTCAAATATTGGAAGACTGCTATCATGTCACCCCTTAAGCTTTTTCTTTGTTAGACATTCCCAGTTCCCTTAATTATTCATCAAATGGTTTAGCCCAGGAGTAGGCCACCTTGGCTCTTTTATGACTCGCGGACTTCAACTCCCAGAATTCCTGAGCCAGCATGGCTCAGCTTGGAAACTCTCTTCCTTTCCCCTCAGCGTGGCTGGCTCAGGAATTCTGGGAGTTGAAGTCCACGAGTCATAAAAGAGCCAAGGTTGCCTACCTCTGGCTTTAGCCTCTAGTCCCCTAATCATCTTTGTTGCTCTTCTCTGCAGTCTTTCCAAGGTCCCAACATATTTTTTTGAATCATGGTGATCAAAACTGGATGCAATATTCCAAGTGTGGTCTTATCAAAGCATTGTAATGTTGGCACTGTCACATCAGGCGATCTTGAAGCTATCCCTAGTCTACCAAAGAGAAGAAATAGAGGTGACGTGATAACTGTCTTCCAGTACTTGAGAGGCTATCACAGAGAAATGGGGATTGACGTATTCTCCATAGGGCCCAAGAGCAATGAGTTAAAGAAAGGTCCAACTTGGAATCCAGGAGAAATTTCCTGACAGAACATTTAATTAATGGAACAGTTTGCCTCCTGAAATTGTGGGTGCTCCAACATTGGAGGTTTTCAAGAAGAGATTGGACAGCCATTTGCCTGGGATAGTATAAGTTGTCCTGCACTGAGCAAGAGGTTAGACTAGAAGACTTCTGAGGTCCTTTCCAACTCTACGATTCTATGTTCCATAGGTTACGGTCCATGCACTGTGTTTTCCTCTGCCAGAAATAAACTCAGTTCTATGGGGCTTTCTTCGAATGGCCAAAAGAACACAACAGACAACAATTTCTTCACTGTATGCCCATAATGTTGCCTTCATCTCTTGCCCAGATCACTTTAAGATGGTCTTTAATCTTTTAGCAAGAGCAAGAGCACCTAGACTTATATTCCGCTTCACAGTGCTTTACAGCCCTCTCTAAGCGGTTTACAGAGTCAACATGTTGCCCTCAACAATCTTTGCCCTCATTTAGATTTAGATAGAGGATGGATGGATGGATGGATGGATGGATGGACGGACAGACGGACGGACAGACAGATATATAGATAGAAATAGCATTTAGACTTATATATCACTTCATAGTGCTTTACAGCCCTCTCTAAGCGGTTTACAGAGTCAGGCTATTGCCCCCCAACAATCTAGGTCTTCATTTAGATTCAGACAGACAGACAGACAGATTAGGTAGGTAGGTAGGTAGCAATAGCACTTAGACTTATATACCGCTTCACAGTGCTTTACAGCCCTCTCTAAGCGGTTTACAGTCAGCATATTTGTCCCCCACAATCTGGGTCCTCATTTAGATTTATTCAGACAGACAGACAGACAGGCAGGCAGGCGGGCAGGCAGACATAGATAGGTAGGTAGGTAGGTAGGTAGGTAGATAGATAGATAGATAGATAGGTAGGTAGGTAGGTAGGTAGGTAGGTAGGTAGGTAGGTAGATAGATAGATAGATAGATAGATAGATAGATAGATAGATAGATAGATAGATAGATAGATAGATAGATAGATAGATAGATAGATAGATAGATAGCAGTGAGACCTATAACTTCAGCAGAAGTAGCCTGCAGTACTGCAGTCTAACCACTGGGCCACCACAATGGATGAAAGTAATAGATTATTTCTCCCATCAGGCTATATTTTAAGGACAGAACTGGAATACTGCATCCAGTTTTAGTCAACACATTATAGAAAAGATGTTGAGACTTTGGGGAAAAATGCAGAGAAGAGCAACTAGAAAGAGATTAAAGGACTGGAGGCTAAAACATATGAAGAATGGTTGCAGGAATTGGGTATGGCTAGTCTGGAGGAAAAAAAAGACTAGTGGGGACATGATAGCAGTCTTCCAATATCTAAGGGGCTGCCATAAGGAGGAGGGGGTCAAGCTATTCTCCAAAGCACCTGAAGGCAGGAGAAGAAGCAACGGGTGGAAACTAATCAAGGAGAGAAGCAACCTAGAATTATGGAGAAACTTCCTCACAGTGAGGATAATTAATTAGTGGAACAGCTTCCCTTCAGAACTTGTGGGTGCTTCATCACTGGAAGTTTTAAAGAAGACAGCCTCTTGTCTCAAATTGTATAGGGACTCCTGCCTGAGCAGGGGGTTGGACTAGAAGACCTCCAAGGTCCCTTGCAGCTCTATTCTGATTGAAATTGAAAAGTCAGTTTTGCTCAGGCACCAGATGATGTGATTCACTGACCTTGACATTGATGCTATAGTCTGGCCAACTGGCCAGCTGCTACTGATCAGCGATCAGCGTAGGCTGCTCATGGGGAAGAATTTTCTCTAGCCTTGATTAAGGGGGGAGAGGCGAAATAATTGCTCAGGTCTGGGAAAGGCGGAAAGCATGAGAAAGTGTAAATGGTATGCAGGGAATAACCCTGGGAAAGAGATGCGGCCAAGGAAATAAGCAGATAAAAAACAGAGAAGCTTATTTTTCAGAATCTTTAATGAGACCTTAGTAGATCTGTGGCTGCGTTTTCCTATCTGAACTAGCAAGTAACACAATAACACCCTCCCCCCCCATCTCATCTCAACTTTGTTGTTTCTCAAGAGACACATAGGGAAAATTGGGGGAAGACTTTCACATTTCTGCCACAATACCTTACCACAATAAAGTAGTCCTCCTATAATCCCTGAATTGTGTGTTTTGTGACTTGCTAATTGACATACAGGCATCTACCTCCTCCCTCCCCCTTCCCCTGGGCCTGATCCTGCAAAGTTATCCTTCTTTGGACAGACAAATCACTTGACTTTTCCTACTGGGTTTTCTCTCCTCCTTACTCCAGATTAATCAGAAGAGTAGCTGAGCTATGATGACCACTGAAGTGGGGGTGAAGAGAGAGGGGGGCTCTCTCCACTTCAGGGTACAGTCCCCCACCCACCCACCCACCCAACTGGGATTGTCAGCTACTGTTTGAGTTAGCAGCTTCTGAAGGGTTGGGGGAGATAGGAAGAGACAGTAGGGAGGGTCTGCCAAAAACTGTGAATCATTGCACTGCTGTGGAGATTTCCCCAGTGGCTGATTGACAGGTGGTCCTCCACTTACGACCTCAATTGAGCCTGGCATTTATGTTGTTAAGTGAGACATTTGTTGAGTCAGTTTCGCCTCTCATTTTACAAATTTTCTGGCCACGGTTGTTAAGCGAATCCCTGCAGGTGTTAAATTAGTAACACATTTGTCAACTGAATTTGGCTTTCCCCATTGACTTTGCTTGGCAGAAGGACACAAAAGGGGATCACGTGACCCCAGGACACGGCGACCGTCATAAATACGAGCCAATTGCCAAGAATCTGAATTCTGATCACGTGACCATGGGGAGGGGTGCTGCAACGGTTGTGTGAAAAATGGTCATAAGTCACTTTTTTTCCAGTGCCGTTGTATCTTCAGACGGTCACTAAATAAATAGAATGAACTGTTGTAAGTCAAGGGCTATCTGTATATATTTCTTTGTATTCCAGCTTTATTATTTTTACAAATAAATCAAGGCAGAGAAAATGTCCAACACCTCTTAATTTCCCCATATCCTCATCCTCTTAGTTTCCCCACCACAACAGCCCTCTGAAGTGGGTTGGGCTGTGAGAGAGGCCCTGGCCCAATGTCACCCTGCCAGCTTTCTTGAACAGAACAGAACAACAGAGTTGGAAAGGACCTTGAGGTCATCTAGTCCAACCCCCTGCAGGAAACCCTATATCAGTGATGGCAAACCTTTTAGAGACAGTGCCCCAAAACTGGCCCTGCCCCTGTTCCATCCCCTCCCCGGCCCCTGCTCTGCTCCGCTCTGCCTCCCCATCCCCCGCCCCGCCTGCCCACAGGGCCACTCACTGCCTCCAGGGCCCGCCGCAGATTGCCCAGGCAGCCCAGCAGCGCCATGGTGGCCACGCCCTCTGCCCGCACCCCGCAGCATCAACTGTGCACGATGGGGCGTGAGGGCAGAGTCTTGTCTACGCTGCCTGGTTGCCATGTCCTTGGCTGCGCTGCTCCGCGTGGGCCACGCTCAGGGGCGACTCTCCTCCAGGGGGGCTGCTGGAGAGGAGGAGGCCACGGGGGAAGGTGAGGCTGGGGCAAAGGCACGTGTGCCCACAGAGAGGGCTCTGAGTGCCACCTCTGGCACGTGTGCCATAGGTTCGCCACCAGTGCCCTATACCATTTCAGACAAATGGTTGTCCAGTCTCTTCTTAAAAACTGCCGGCAATGGGGAAAAAGTTGCGATACGTCACGTGTTTGACATGCCTGTTCTAGAGGCAGGTAGTTCCACTGGTTAATTGTTATGACTGTCAGGAAATTTCTCCTTAGTTCCACCCAAGTTCTACTTAGTTCTCTAGGTTTCATCTGGCCTCTGTTTTGCTTCCCTATCAGGCAGACCGGACTCGGAGTATGTCAGATGACAGCCCGAGTAGCTGGAATCATCTCCCCACTGGTTGGTCTCCTGGGGAAATATCACACCTCTCTGCCCGTGGTGATCTTTGGAAGTACAGCTGTCCTTGGTGGCCTCTTTTCTCTCCTTCTTCCAGAGACGCTTGGCAAGGAACTCCCCGATTGTATGGATGATCTGACCCACAAACCAAGGCAAGATCCATGGGAAAGTCTGACGTTTGCTTGACACGTTTGGCCTCGCTGGTCCAGGAGAAGCAAACCTGGGCTTAGATCCAGTCAGACGTCAGTTCTCTTAAGGCACTTTGCCCAGTTTTGTAGCCACCAAGGGCATGGGCCACAAAGTGGGACAAGTTAAGGCAAGCCTCAAATGATGTCATTAGTCAAGCCCTTCCTTTGTGCACTGCACTGTGTTGGCAATGTGCAGCGGACTTCCATAGTGATATCTCTGCACATGCTTAAAGAACATAAGCCTCAATTGCTAGCAAAATAAAAACAAACAAACTAGGTAACATCATCAGTGCTAGATCTAGGACTACCCCTGATGATGTTACCTAGCTGGGTAATGAAATGTCTTCAAGAAAACCACCAAGCTCAGAGAGCACCAAGGACGCCATGGTCGTCCTCCTCCTCCTCCTCCTCCTCCTCCTCCTCTTCTCCACAAACCCCACTCCCTTCTAGCACTGATCATGTTACCTAGCTGGGTCATGAAATGTCTTCAAGAAAACCACCAAGCTCAGAGAGCACCAAGGACCCCATGATGGTCGTCGTCGTCGTCGTCGTCGTCGTCGTCGTCGTCGTCGTCATCGTCCTCCTCCTCCTCCTCCTCCTCCTCCTCCTCCTCCTCCTCCTCCTCCTCCTCCTCCTCTCCATAAACCCCACTCCCTTCTAGCACTGATGATTTTACCTAGTTGGGTCATGAAAGGTCTGCAAGAAAACAACCAAGCTCAGAGAGACCCAGGACCCCACAATCCTCCTCCTCCTCCTCCTCTCCATAAACCCCACTCCCTTCTAGCACTGATGATGTTACCTAGCTGGGTCATGAAACATCTGCAAGAAAACCACCAAGCTCATAGACCACCAAGGACCCCTCATTTCAACTCCAAGCTACAAATATTCTTTTTTTTATTAAAAACAAGCCAGCTAACCTAGCCACTTTGTTTTCTATCCATAGTTGTCGATTTCTGGCTGAGAACAGATGATCTGCAATTTGCTGGTTTGTTTATTGCTGGCAAGAAAAAAATGGTTTTTCTTTTCTTTTGTGGCCCTCCTTCTGCTTGGATCTTTATCAGATTTTCTGGGAATCAAATGTTGTCAATTAACTTCACTGTTATGGTGAAGACAAGACTGATAGTAACACTTTGCTTGGAAACCAAGCTGGCTTGGATCTCTTTGATGAGAATGCATCAGGGCTTCCCACTGGTTTAACTGGATTAGGTGATTAAAAAAAAAATCTGGAGAAAGGCAGTTGCTAATCACTTTGCTACTATGACAAGGAAACTACACTGATATCTTAAATAACACATGAATGGAACCAATAAAAGAGAATATTTGAGTTCAGGGTTGAAATGGGGGCTCCTTGGTGTTCTCTGAGCTTGGTTGTTTTCTTGCAGACCTTTCATGACCCAACTAGTAACATCATCAATGCTAGAAGGAGGGAGGAGGAGGAGGAGGAGGATTGTGGTGCCTCTGGTGCTCTCTGAGCTTGGTTGTTTTCTTGCAGACATTTCATGACCCAACTAGGTAACATCATCAGTGCTAGAAGGGGGGAGGAGGAGGAGGAAGAGGATTGTGGTGCCTCTGGTGCTCTCTGAGCTGGGTTGTTTTCTTGCAGACATTTCATGACCCAACTAGGTAACATCATCAGTGCTAGAAGGGGGGAGGAGGAGGTGGAGGAGGAGGAGGAGGATTGTGGGGCCCCTAGTGCTCTCTGAGCTTGGTTGTTTTCTTGCAGACATTTCATGACCCAACTAGGTAACATCATCAGTGCTAGAAGGGGGGAGGAGGAGGAGGAGGAGGATTGTGGTGCCTCTGGTGCTCTCTGAGCTTGGTTGTTTTCTTGCAGACCTTTCATGACCCAACTAGGTAACATCATCAGTGCTAGAAAGGGTTTGCAGAGTGGAGAAGTGGAGAGGAGGAGAAGGAGGTTTGTGGGACTCTAGGTGTTCTTTGAGCTTCATTGTTTTTTTACATTTCATTATATTACCACACTAGGTAACATCATCAATGCTAGAAGGGAGTGGGGTTCATGGAGAGGGGGAGGAGGACTGTGGGGTCCTTGATGCTCAGGATCCCAGGATATATGTGAGTCAGTTGCCAAGCATCTGAATTTTGATCCCATGACCAAGGGGATGTTCCAATGGTTGTAAGTATGAAAAACGGTCATAAGTCACTTTTTACAGTGTCGTAACTTTGAACGGTCACTAAATGAACTGTTGGACTACATATATTATGTATAATGAAATCTGTTTTTAACTTTTCTCACTTTTAGGAAGAGCAAGGAAGCCAGTGACAGCGTGGAAAATGGATGTACAAAACCAAATAAAGACAATTGTATCAGTGAAAGGATAACCACCACACATTTCTAAGTCAATGGGTGGATTGACCCAGCATGTCAAGGATGCAGACTGGAGAAAAATTGGTAGATTTCTCTGTACTGTGAGCAGAGCAGGCAAAATTGGTGTGCTTTGTTTAGAGAGTAAATATCTTTCATCTATTAGGCTACAACATAACACAGTTCATGTGATTTGGCTTAGTGGGATCCATGCCATAAAGTGATGGATAAAGTCAGCCACTCTTGGTTTAGTCAAGAAACCATGGTTTATTATAATGGGTGCACCGGGTCATTGAGTACACCAATTGCTTTCAATGGGACTTATTTTGCTAATGATGGTTAATCTATTCTTACTATAATTGCCAACTCACTGCTTTTGTTTAAGGTATTTTTTAGTTAGAATTGTTAGCTTTTTTTTTTAAAGGAAATCAGTTTAAACACTAGTTTATCATTCATGAGTTAAATCTGTAACAACATGCGAAGCAGAGGAAAAAATAAACAAAGCAGGAGTAAATCTATTCAACTTTGTGCAAACACTGCCAACAATTCTGTTGAATTCAGAAACTCTTTTCTACTTTGGAGATTTAACTCGGTGCTTTGGCACGGGGTGATTTTACCTTTAAAAATCTACACTCAGTGAAACCAAATATGCAATTAGCAGTTGCAAAGGTCTTTTTTTTTTTTTTTTAGGGAAATTGCAGGTGAGGACCTCCCATTCTGAAATGGGACCAAGAGTTTTCATTTTGCTGATTCTTCTCAGATGTTCCCAATCCAAATTATCACCTTCCCACATAAGCATTTTGCTTTCTTTCTCCCAATCTTTGGCTTTTCTTTTCTTTTTTTTAAAGGAAAAGTTTGTTCCTGTTCTTGAGTTGTTGTTCTTCAGGTCAGCCACACCCAAATCTCTGGAATTTCTTTGATTCTCCTTTGTCTGCATGTCACCAATAACAAAAAAAACACCAAAACACTTATTACCACATAAAGCTTCCTTTGGGGAAAAAAAAATCATTTCTTTAAAAAGAAAAATGTACGGTGAATGCCAGCAAAGATGAAACTAAGAAATGCAGATTTTTAAGGAGGAGGGAGATCTTAGGGCAGACATAACAAAACAATATAGAAAAATGGGTTTGGTTGTCTATCCTTCCACGCGAAGGGGGCAACCCCCATAAAACACCCCATGAGAAGTTGAACATGATCAGTAGCTGTCATTTAAAACAGCAGATGGACGAGAATAAGCTGGGGGTGGGTGATTTTGAATGGGACAATTTTGGTGGAATATGGGACCAAGAGAGAGAAAACTTTAGATATTTTGATTGAGAAGGTCAAGATGGACCCTCCCTAGAAGTTCTCAGAGCATATCTTTACTGATGCAAGCAATTGCTTTAGTGTGACAAGATTGCTTCTATGGGTGAAGAACAATAAAGGAAATTGCTCAGAAGTAACTCTGTATGTCTTTCTTGGTTTTTTTTGGGGGGGTGACAATAATAAAAATAGAAGTATATGGCTGTGTGGATGGTCATCTGTGAATTAATAGCCAGTAGGACATCTATAATGTAAGATGAATCTTGAAGGACATCGTTGCCAACATAAGGACAATTCATAATCTGAGGAGCCACAGAGAGGTGGTGGTCTGTGTGGTCTGGATAGACCTTATTTTTTATCCAGTTGTCCCCATGTACATATTATTGTCACAGCTTTTGACTGTGACTGTGCATCCACCACGATGAGGCTTCCAAGAACTTGTCAACCAGTTACTGGATCAGGAGATGAATTAGATTCGGTTGAGATCAATATTTGGGCTGGGGTCCTTTAGAGTCATTGTCCATCCTTCCATAAATGGTATTGAATGTCCCACAATTACTTTCTGAATTGATCCCAACGAGAAGGACTGGTAGTATGATGAAAAGTCCTTTTAAATTGCACCCCAGCTTGTTTAGAAGAACATCAAAAGCTTGATGTTGAGAAGTCCAACAGAATCACTCAGATCTAGTTTGGTTTAGTGGTGAAAGCTCCCAGCCAACTTTTATGCCTAAGGTAGAACTGGAACTCACAGTCTCCTGGTTTTTAGGCCAGCACCTTAACCACTGCACCAAACTCCCTCTCATTTCATGTCACTTCTTCAGCAGATCGTGTGCTGATATAACAAGGTGAAGCCCTAAAGGTGAGGTCCTGCCAAGAATCTCTCAGCATCCTTGGGTTGTACAAATGGAGCAATATTCAGTGTATCTGGCAAGAAGGACTCCAAGTTACACCAGCTAATTATAATATTCATGTTGGCATGTGATGTGATGCAAGCAATTTCATCTACAAAGCATCATACATACTGATCGCAATAAATGATTTGAATGGTCTCTATTTTTCTTCACATGGACCGTTGTGTGAAAAAGCTTAGCTAGATGCTTTGCTACTATCTGAAACATTGTTTTGGCATTCAAATGGGATCCGAATTGTATCCCAAATAATTTCCCGGCTAATTATGATGACCAGTTGACAAAGTGAGAGGGCTTTTGGTGACACTGCAGTCTTTTGGTTGTCTAACCTGGCCTAGGAAGCAGAAGAATGAAGTCACGCTCCTAAGATGCCTTCAAAAGCACAACTATTTTGACCAAAATGGCCTGTTTTTCTCACGTGCATGAGATGCAGATCTAAGATAGCTTCCATTAATGTCCCAGCTCCAGATATACAGGCTGTCCTCAACTTACAACACCTCATTTAGTGACCGTTCAAAGTTACAACGGCACTGAAAAAAGTGACATGGCCATTTTTCACACTTACAACCCTTTGCAGCATCCCCCATGGTCAATATTCAGACGCTTGGCAACTGGCTCACATTTATGACGGTTGCTCTGTCTTAAGGTCACGTGATCCTCTTTTGCGACCTTCTGAAAAGCAAAGTCAACGGGGGAAAGTCAGATTCACTTAACAACAGTGTTGCTAATTTAACCACTGCAGCGTTTCACTTAACAACTGTGGCAAGAAAGGTCATAAAATGGGGCAAAACTCTCTTAACAAATGTCTCACTTAGCAACATGAATTTTGGGCTCAGTTGTGGTCATAAGTCAAGGACTACCTGTATTAGGCCATTTCTATATGGATTTCTTTTAGGACTGAGGAACAAAATGGAATCCTGGTTTTGGAAAACATCTTCCTTCAGGGTTTCTCCTGTTTGTTTATTGGGCTTTTCTATTTCTCTGAAGTAATTAGCAGCAAACCTTTTTAGACAATACAACCCATGCATTGTTTTAATTAGCAGTGGAACATCTTAAATGGCTCAAGGGCAGACTTAATTCAGGCTGTGTTGTCTTCTTACTCCATTTCTGCTGCCACTGTTTTGGTAAAGTTGCTGGCTACTTCTCAGAAGTATTCTGTTCTACGCATTTCCCCCCTCCCCTCCTGTTGTTTTCATTACGGGATCAGGAGAGAACGAACTAACAGTGATAAGACATTTGAGTGGGAAAGGCTCATCTCTATGCTAATGCAACATGTGTGTGTTTTGCAAAAGGGGTGTGTCTGCGCACACAGGTGTTTGATATAACTGTGAAACAGAGGCAGCTAATTATTTCTTAAAAGCTATAAAAGTGCTGGGAGGGGCGTTTTTCCCTTCACTTTTTGGGCGCTTGGTGAATCTCTTCCAGCGGTGAGCAGGTACTAACTTTGCAATAATAGGAAAAAAAAACTTTTCTAGTTTGTGCTGCGAGTTTCTTAGAGAGCTATGCCGGCCTCTTCATGATATTTCTTTGAGAAAATAATTTCAAGGTGATTTCATGAATTGACCTCCATGTTTCTTTGCCTTTATTTAGCAACTTTAGTTCTCATTTTTACAAATATCTCATGTTTTCTTGGTTTCGCATTTCTGCAGATAAAGCAAAATTAGTTTCTTTTTTTTAAAGCCTATTTTAACAAACTGTTTGTATTTTTCTTGCTCTCCATTTCTCCAAATAGGTTTTAAAATGCTGCCTAATATACTGTCTTTGCAACAATTTTCTGTGATTAATTTTACATGTTACTTTAAAGAATATTTGTATTACTTTTGCACATTTTTGATATCTTTATCAACTGAAATGCAAAATTTGGATTATTTCACATTCTGAGGAATGTTTTTACTCACTCATTTGTTCTATAATACCAAATGAGATGCATTCCGGTACAAATAAAACGGGTTCGTTTTTACTGTATATCTGCTGGAGTCCGTTTGTTTTTCAGTGACCTTTCCTGATAGTTTAAGGAGATACGGGGCTTTCTTAAATTATTTAAATTAAGTTAATCTTAATTTGCTACCCAGGTTAAACCCCTTTTGTGTAGGTATTTTATCAAACATGCAATTTACATGCCTAATACGAAGCCCACTTGTTTTATAGCTTGCTCTTGTTCACTGCTTTGATTTGAAGCGGTTTAAATTGCAAGCCGCTCTTAGCGTAGCAGCTAAAGCGGCATTTCTCAACCGTGGCAACTTTTAAGATGAGTGGGCTTCAACTCCCCGTAGTTGCGTCTAATTTAAAGAGTTTATTCAAACAAGCTAAAGCGGCGTCTCACAACTTCGGCGACTTTAAATGACTTTAAAATTCCACAGCGGAGGAATTTAAGCCCCTCTCATCTCAAAGCGGCCGAGGTCGGGGGTGGGTGGGGGGGAAGCGAAACGCCGCTTTAGCTCTGCGCTATGAGTTGCGCGCGTAATTTAAAGTCGCCTATTCAGACAACAAGCTAAAGTAGCGCGTCTCAACTTCGGCAACTTTTAAGATGAGTGGATTTCAGTGCCCACAATTCCGCAGCTGTGGAATTTGAAGTCCAGTCGCTTTAAAGTTGCCGAGGTTGAAAAACGCGGCTTTTGCGGCTATGCTAAAAACTGCCTGCGATTTTAAAATGCTTACTCAGACAACCAGCCAAAGCCGCGTTTCTCAATTGTAAGGAGAGCGGATTTAGAATTTCGCAGCTATGGAACTGAAGTCCACGCATTTTTCTGCCTTGCTTCCTTGCTCTCTCTTTCTCTTACTTTATTATTATTATTGCTGATTTTGTTTATATTTTAATTTCAGAAACTCGGTTTAACAACGGTTTAATCCGGCATTGGAATTTACAATGTCAGGATTTGGGGAAGTCTTGAAGATGATTGGCGAATATGGGGCGTTTCAGAAATGTTTGGTGGTGCTGCTTTGCATCCCAAGTTTCTTGACCCCCTTTCACATGTTCGGCCAAATCTTCATTAGCATCGATGTTCCTCACCACTGCAACACCAGCTGGATCCGAGCGATTAGCCCCAACTTAACCGTTCAACAGGTGTTAAATTTAACAATCCCTAAGAAAGTGGATGGTTCTCTGGAGGAATGTTCTAGATTCACTCCAGTAGATTCGGACATTGAATCGATCATAAAATACGGGCTCAATTCCACCCAGGGTTGTGAACAAGGATGGGTGTATCCGACAATGAGCGTGCCAACTCTGGTTACCGAGGTATGTGCATCACTGCATTCCTTTTAAACGATTCTAATCGTGAGAATTGCCCCATCCTTTTCAAAGCAATTGATGGAATTGGGGCAGCTTTCCTGTTATCCTAGAGAATGCTGGCTGGGGAATTCTGGAAGTTAAATAAAAGTGTAATTTTTTTCTTTTTCTGCTTTAGTTTGATCTGGTCTGCGACCAAAGGGACTTAAACGACATCTCCCAATCCATTTTCATGGGCGGACTTCTGGCTGGATCGCTGATCTTCGGCTCACTGAGTGACAGGTAAGGTGACACATTTCACACAGCAGCTTCTGCCCCCTGGAGGTTGAAGCAGTCTGTGCAGGCAAGGTGTCAAAAAGAGGTCCACAGAGACTCCAACTCAAAAGTTAACTTCTGTGCCGGCAATCCATGCCCTGCCTCTTTTTACACGTGTTTTACTTCTGGATTATCTGTTCCCCAACCTAATTCTTCAGGTTTTTCAAAAGTACATCCATTACTTCTTTAATGAGTCCATTCTGCTTTGTTCCTGGCTTGCTTCCTTCTCTTTCCTTCAGTTTTTCCAGCATTGTGGATGTCTCCAGAGACTTGGGTCTTTCATGGAATGTGTCGCAAATCTGATCATCAAGATGGTGGTAATCACATCCATGGGGTCAAAGCCCTACCTGTGTGCATGTTGGAGATAGTGCTCTAATCCCATGGTTATGCTTGCTATCTTCACTTCATTTGACCGTCTTCTTGAAGGCTCTCCAGCCCAGCTTTGTTTGCTGTACAAACCCAGCTTACTTTTCTCAAGGGAAAACAGCCCATGGATTTTTCTTTTTAAAAAAGTGTTGTTGTTGTTGTTTTTTCATTCTGAGCATTACAACTGACCCTTCTTGCATTGTTTTCTCCAGGTTTGGCAGCCGGATGTCCATCCTAATTACCCTGTTCATAATGGGATTCTTTGGGACTGCAGTAAGTTTGGCCGCGCATTTCTACGTCTACATTGCCCTGAGATTCGTCGTAGGAGCAGCCCTGGCTGGGATCAGCATCAGCATTGCAACCTTGAGTAAGTCCTAGAAGCCCAAATGTCAACTTCTAAAAAGATCACACCCTTTGCCTTTCAAACCAATGTACTGTAATTTTTGAGGTTCCAGGAAGTTCTCTGTATATTTCTTATCTCAAGACTTGGAGAAATTGTGCCACTGGCTTCCCTTGTCTGCATTTCAAGATGTGGGGATCTCTGGGGTGCCACAAAGGGGGTTCAGAGGGTCCAGAAGACACTGGGTCAAAATGTAGAGGTGCTCAGTGGCAGATTTTGATTGCAGACTGTAAAATGAGACCTTTATTCAATGTTCAGGGTTGGGAAAGGATTTCTGAATGGAAAATGCAGTGGGTGGACAAGTTTCTTTGTGAAGAGACTTTTGAGTTTTCCATTTTCCTTTAGGTTCGGAATGGGTGGGTCCATCTTACCGTCCACAGGCGCTGATCATCATTCATTGTGCCAATGCGCTGGGTCAAATGGCTCTAGCTGGCGTGGCCTACTTTGTCCATGACTGGCGACTGTATCAAATAACGACCTCAGCTCCTGCATTTCTCATCTTTTTCTACGCTTGGTAAGTCTCTTGCATTTCTGCTGGAAGGAATTTGCATCTTCAGCTTTTTGTGGGCATCCAAAATCTGTTCCTGGGATTTGAACTTACGTTTTTGATTCAGGTCAGTTTGATTTTTGCTAATATACTTGATTGTTCTCAACTTTGGCGATTTAAAAGATCTGGACTTCAACTCTCAGCCAGCATGTGGAGTTGAAGTCCAGGCTTCTTAAAATTTCTGAGGTTAAGAAACACTGGCCTACAAGAAAGTGCTATTTGAATTCAGTTGCTATTTGAATTCAGTTCATTCACACACACACAATTCTGTTTCCACTTCTGATGTATGTTTTTATCTGTTGCAGGGTCCTTCCAAGCTCTGCTCGATGGCTGATAACCAAAAAGAAAATGGAAGAAGCCAAAGATATCCTCCTAAGAGCTGCTGCCATCAACAACCAAACCTTTTCTGTGGATATCGTGGATCAGGTACCAAATGCATAGTTGTTTTAACGCTCCTTTAGAGGAACATTTTAGAAAAGAACACTTTAAAAAGGAGATCAAAATTGGCTTTATTACTCTTTTCCAATGCTATAACTTCTAGTTTTTTTCCCCTTCCTGTGGTTCTTAACTTCTTTTTCCTCCCTGAAGGGATATCTTGGACAAAATGTCTGGCTTTTACCTTCTCTGCTTCTTTTTAAAGTTATGGCTAAAACCTCTGCCCAGCTTTACAAAACAAGGCTCAAAAACTGCTTTTTTAATCCAAAAAGTACACAGGTATTCCTTGACACACTGCCATCCATGCAGTGACTGTTCAAAGTTACAACAGCACTGAAAAAAGTGACTTACTACTTGCACTTAGGACTGCCACAGCGTCCTAACCAAAATTTAGGAGCTTAGCAGCCAATATATATTTTACAGGATAGTAACCATGAAATTTGACTACTGTAATGTTTTGTCTTCCATTTTGTGCTCATTTCAGTTGGCTCCAGAAAAGAAGATGTCACATAAATACATCCTAGACCTTTTCAAGAAATCGTATCTGAGGAACATGACTTTGATCATGGCTTGGGTGTGGTAAGTCTTCTTTAAAAGGCATTTAAAAAAAAAATCACAAAGCAGATGTATTTTCAATGTAAAGTATGGGAAGCTGATGCAACTTCTCAGAAGCATCTCAACTTCTCGTTCTACCCTCAGGTTTGTGGATAGTCTGGTGTATTACGAACTGAGTCTTCACGTTGGGGATTTTGGCTTGAACATCTACTTGACCCAACTCATCTTTGGAGCTGTGGAAATCCCATCTCGCATCTTCTCCATTTTTCTGCTCGAATCGATCGGGAGGAAGAAGTGCCAGTCCACTTGGCTCATCCTGGGAGGAATCATGTGTGTGATCATCTGTGTGATCCCCAAAGGTACGTTAGATATTTGGGAACCAAAATAGCAAGATGATCTTGGCAGCTCAAAAGATTGCAGTGACCTGATTTATGTGCCATAAAAGTTGTTTTTAACCCTTGGCAATCACACAGTTAAGATTTTTCTCCACAAAGATCTGTCTCCAACCTGGTCCTTCAGGTGTTGCAAAGATTTCCCATTAACCACTGTAACTTTTTCTCTTTCCTTCCATCTTTTTCAGCATTAGAGCCTTTTTCTCAGAGAAAAATGAGACGTGCAGGCATTGACCCCAACTCTTAATTTATGTTTTCCAATTTTGTATTTTCTCCTTGGTGGCATCTCATTAGTGACTGAGCCTTTCTGATTAGGGCAGGAATTCAATAAGTGACTAAAACCTTTTTCCTGAAAAGGGTCATAGAAACCAACCTAAACCCACTCATGGATTTGTGTAAAGCTAGGCCCCAGTTTTGAAGCTCTCAAATGTTCTGTAACACCTCAAGTTAGATCTTCTGTGCTCTTTCTCACCTCACTCTGTTTTTCTCTCTCCAGAATTCCGTATTATTGTGACTGTGCTAGCCGTGATTGGAAAGTCTGCTATGGCTGCTTCCTTTTCAACCACTTATCTGTTTTCTGCTGAGATATTTCCCACAGTTGTGAGGTAAAGATATTACTTATGTGTTTATATTGTTTATTTACTTACTTGATTTATAAAGGCACCTCAATCAAGCACTGTGACTCTGGACAGCACAAACAACAAAACAAGAAGTGTGCCCTCCCCATTATTAAAATAAATGCAATATATAATTTGTTTGCAGTGTTTTTCAAACTTGGCAACTTTAAGATGTATAGACTTCAGCTTCCAGGATTGCCAGAAGAGAAGACATCCACATTATTTGCTTCTCATTTCTTTTAATCTGAAGACTATTTACCGGTAAGGTTGAGTGACTCAATTTGTTTTATTCTATTTCTTCCACCAGACAATTCGCCCTTGGCTTGTGCTCCACGTCTGCTCGTGTCGCGGGCATCCTTGCGCCATTACTTGGCATGTTGGCCAGATACCACCTTGCTATTCCTATGTTCATCTGTGGAAGCTCAACACTGGTTGCAGGAATCCTATGCTGTTTCCTTCCTGAAACACGCAACAGAGATCTTCAGGATACTACACCTGAGCCCGAAGCCGCGCCAGCTCAGAAGTGAGTTTATTAAATGTATTTATTTCTCACATTTATATGACTGCCAAAGTCACAAATCTCTGGGTGTCTTACCACATTAGTTAGTGTGGGTAGAAAAAACCCTTGGAGAACAGAAGGGATACAGAGAGAAAGATGATTCTGCAGATTCTCAATCTTCCACGTCATGGTTGTCCCAGAGATGCTTTTTCAAAAGGCAACTGGACTTTCAGCTCTGTTATTCTGTGAAGCTTCTGGGGTAAGAAGTGAAATATTTTCAAAGAAGGACAAAGAAAGCCCAGTTGCCTTTTGAAAAAGCATCTTTGGGACAGAGAGAAAGAGAAAGAAGCATCCAAGTGAAGAGTCCAACTTTCCTTATTCCAAGTCTTTCTGTTGCTGTGTTTGTCAATCGTAGCTCCTTGAAGATGGGTGGACTTCAACTCCCTGTTTCAATGTATTTCTTTTCCTTTGAGGATCCAAGAGATTCACCTCCACATTGGCTGTGAGCTGGAAACCATAACTGAAGAAGAAATCACTGAGGAAGGACCTGTCAAGAAGACCTATGTGTAGAACCAAGAAGCTTATTCTGTACTTTGCAAGCCATAACTTGGTTTGCTGATCATCTATGTATGCAATTTTGTATCTAAGGTTATCCAGAATAATTGCTGAGTATTCTAATCATAGTGTAACATTGACATGTCTTCACATTGTGGTATTGTTTTATATTTGGGGTGCACATATCCTTGGACTGGTGGGCAACAACTGCCCTACCAGGTACAGCATGATTAAATGCTGCCTTTGATTTCTTTGAATCTGCATATCAATAAAACTGCATGACAAAAATCCGCTGTTGTCTAGTGTTTTTCTTTTAAATTTTCTCTTCTATTTACTGAAACATTGGGTGGTTACCTGCTGGTTCCTTGGGTTTGGGAACTCAGTGGGGGCCAGAATAATTTTATATTTGGTTTCAAGAAATCCTGAAACAATCAGGAGACATCCTGGAACATGATTGGCTGACAGGATTATACATATCTTTGTGTGAATGTGGTTCAGGGGCACACATGGACACAGAGATGGCCCTCAATATTAGGACATTCTGTTAGTGATTGTTCAAAGACACAATGGTGCTGGGAAAAGTGACTTACTGGCACTTAGGATGTCTATGGAGATTCTCAATCTTCCAGGTCATAGAATATAGAATAAAAGAGTTGGAAGGGACCTCAGAGGTCTTCTAGTCCAACCCCCTGCTCCAGCACAAGAGCCTATACCATTTCAGTCAAACAGATGTCCAATCTCTTTTTAAAAACCTCCTGTGACGGAGGGACCCAAAACTGATGAAGTTATTCCAAAGGTGCTTTTCAAATGTCATACTTTTCAAACTTCAAACCATGGTTTCCAAACCTCAAACCAGGAAGTTTGGAAAGATGCTTCCCAAACTTCTTGATTTGAGGCTTGAAAACCAAACATTCTTTCCAAACTTCATGGTTGTCCCAAAACGTGTTTTTCAAAAGGTAACTGGGCTTTCTTGATTTTCCCTTGAAAACATTTTGTTTCTCATCCAAGAAACTTCAGAGAATGGCAGAGCTGGAAGGGACCTTGGAGGTCATCTAGTCCAACCCCCTGCTCAGGCAGGAAACCCAATACCAATCCAGACAAATGGCCATCCAGTCTCTTCTTAAAAACCTCCAGTGTTGCAGCCCCCACAAGTTTCTTCCGCCTGAGTTTGCAAGGAAGGAAAACAAAGTGGTCCAGTTGTCTTTTGAAAAGCACTTTTGGCATTTAGGACTATGGCAACTTCCTTGCAGGCACATTATTTTGCTTTGGGTGCCTGGCAACTGGCATTTGTGAGAGGTTTATGACAGATGCAGCATCTGGGGCTCCATGTGATTGCCACTGCAGCCTTCCCAGGGGGATTCTGCCATGCAGGGTCAGTGTAAAAAAACCAGATTTACTTAACCAGGTTAAAAAAAAAAAGTCTTAAATCAGGCACAGTCACATGGTTGACTCACCTAATGACAGCATTGCTTAGTGACAGAGGTTTTGGTCCCAATGATAGTCACATGTCAAGGACTATTTGTACATATACATTAAGGGAAGAAAACTTTAAGCCAACTTTGCTGACAACTTTTAGGTGAGGGGAAGACATGGATGCAAAGTTCTCAATGAACCATGTAGTCTTGTACAGGGAGTCCTTGACTTACGACCACAATCCAGCCCAACATTTCTACTGCTAAATGAGACATTTGTTAAGTGAACTTTGTCCCATTTTACGACCTTTCTTGACACATTAAGTCTGCGGCTGTTAAGTTAGTAACAGGGTTGTTAAATGAATCCGGCTTCCCCCATTGACTTTGCTTGTCAGAAAGGGATCACATGACCCCAGGATACGGCAATTGTCATAAATATGAGCCAGTGCCAAGTATCTGAATTTTGATCACATGATCACGGGGATGCTGCAGCGGTCATAAGTATGAAAATTGGTCATAAGTCCTTTTTTTAGTGTTGTTGTAACTTTGAATGGTCACTAAATGAACCGTTATAATAATAATAATAATAAAGTTGGAAGGGACCTTGGAGGTCATCTAGCCCAACCCCCTGCTCAGGTAGGAAACCCTATACCATTTCAGACACATGGCTGTCCAGTCTCTTCTTAAAGACTTCCAGTGTTGGAGCATTCACCACTTCTGGAGGCAGGTTGTTCCACTGGTTAATTGTTCTAACTGTCAGGAAGTTTCTCCTTAGTTCTAGGTTGCTTCTCTCCATTGTAAGTCCCTCACCTTTTTGGATCGGTCATTCAGCAGTTTTCAAAGATTGCAGCTACATTTTACAGGGTGACACACACCTAGTCCTGGTTTGGGGGGAAGAGGGAAAGAAAACACTACACAACTTGCAAATGGCTGCACACCCTGTTTTATAAAACTTGGTCTTCCACCTCGGTGATTTGTTGCAGGATACTTTTCTCCGGGAAAGCTTTAAAAATTTGTAAGTTTAAAAATGAAGAAGGGGAAAGCAAATGACTGTCTCAGAGTGGTCCACTTGTTTGGGGAGAGTCAACAGAAGGTGGGGGATGCACCTTCTCTGCAACTCTCCACAAATTAAACCTCACAAGGGGGAATGTGGCCTGATAGATTAAGGGATAATATCTCTTCCTCACCTTTACTGGTTCAAAAACAGTAACTGTGAGAGGGACCTTGGAGTCCTAGTGGATGATCAATTGACTATGAGCCAGCCGTGTGCAGCAGCAGCCCAAAAAGCTAATACAATCCTGGGTTGTATAAACAGAGGCATAGAATCAAGATCACGCGAGGTATTAGTACCGCTTTATAAAACCCTAGTAAGACCACACCTGGAATACTGCAGCCAATTTTGGTCACCATACTACAAAAAAGATGCTGAGACCTTGGAAAAAGTTCAGAGAAGAGCAACTAAAAGGATCAAAGGCCTGGAGACTAAAACATACGAAGAACAGCTGCAGGACTTGGGTTTGGCTAGTCTAAAGAAAAGAAACAGGGGTGACATGATAGCAGCATTCCAGTATTTGAGGGGCTGCCACAAAGAAGAAGGGGGTCAAATTATTCCCCAGAGCACCAGAGGGCAGGACAAGAAATAATGGTTGGAAACTGACCAAAGAGAGAAGCAACCTGGAATTAAGGAGAAACTTCCTGACAGTGAGGAAAATTAACCAGTGGAACAGCTTGCTCCATCAGTGAAGGTTTTTAAGAAGAGACTAGACAGTCACCTGTCTGAAATGGTATTGGGTAGGGATAGGCAACCTTGTCTCTTTTATGATTCGTGGACTTCAACTCCCAGAATTCCTGAGCTAGCATGGCTCAGATTGGAAACCTCTCCCTTTCCCCTCAGCATGGCTGGCTCAGGAATTCTGGGAGTTGAAGTCCACAAGTCATAAAAGAGCCAAGGTTGCCTACCCCTGGTATAGGGTTTCCTGCCTGAGTGGGGGGCTGGACTAGAAGGTCTCCAAGGCCCCTTCCAGCTCTATTGTATTCTATTTAAAGACTTTCCCTTATGCATCAAAATCAGGCCGAGAATCCCACAGAGGCCTTGAAGTTGACATTGCTACCAAATTAAAACAACAGCTTTCCAGCTGCAAAAAAAAAAAAAAATCCTGCAAAAGGGAGGATGAAGGAGATGGTTGGGCATCTGTGAAGTTGATTTTGTGTAGTGTAGATGGCAACACAATATGTGTGAATATGTGCAGGATTTGCAGCAAACCGGCTGGTGCAAAAGAGTGCAATTTGGGGAAATTCAGCCAGAGATCAAACTTGATAATTTGAGGAGTCGGCTGAATAACAGAATATAGGTGGTCCTCGAATTACAACCATAATGGAGCCCAACATTTATGTGGCCAAATGAAACATTTGTTAAGTGAGTTTTGCTCCACTTTACAACCTCCCTCACCACAGTTGTTAACTGAATCCATGCAGTTGTTAAATCAGTAACATGGCTGTTAAGTGAATCTCGCTTCCCCTTTGATTTTGTTTGTCAAAAGGTCACAAAAGGGGATCACATGACCCTGGGATACTGCAACTGTCATAAATACAAGTCAGTTGCCAAGCAACCTAATTTTGATCACGTGATCATGGGGATGCTGCATTGGTTGCATGAAAAATGGTCATAAGTCATTTTTTTTAGTTCCGTTGTAACTTCATATGGTCATTAAATGAACTGTTGTAAGTTGAGATCTACGTGTAACGGAATAATGCTGGAATTCCCAAAGGAATTGTTTTCTCTCTTTCCATTCTTCTTTCTAGGATATGGGGTTTGGCAGGGATAAGGTCAAAAATGTCAAGATGGCAGCCACAACTATGATTTCCCCCCCCCAAGGCAGCTTTTGAATTCATGCTTGTGGCCGCCATCTTGACTTTTTTGACTCTCTCCCTGCAGACACCCCCACTAGGACCAAAAGAAGACCCAGGAAGAAGCTACGGATGAAGCAAAGGGAGGGAATGAATAATATAAGAGACGCTGAATCTTCTTTAAAATCAATACCAGGGGGAGTTTTTTTTAAAATAATTCATTTATTAAAGCATTGAAAGAAAGAGATACTTATACAAAAGAAGAAGATGAAAAGAACACAGTGGATAAAAGATTAAACATAACTAAATGTCCAAAGCATTTGCAAGTATGACAACATCTGAAGTTTACCTTTTCCTCATTTTTCTGTTAAATTTACAAAACTCGGTTCATCCACTTGTCTTAGAAATCACCAGCAATCTCTATAAAACACTAACCCTAATATTTTGATATACAGTTATTTGTAATTGCTAAAAAGCAAAAGCGGTGGAAAGGAAGAAAAAGGAAGGGGAAAAATTCAAAGAAAGGGGAAAAAGGAAAGAATCAATTAAAAAAAGAAAATAAAAAGCAATAAAATCAATATTAAAATTGTGGGATTTTATTCCATTTAGCCATGCACCGTTTCCTGGAGAGACTATAAGTGTGACTTAACTTTCGGCTACCCCTTTTTAACTGATCAACTCATGGACAATCTTGACTGTCTTCTGGAATTCGAATTCGACTTACAACCACAATTGATCCCAAAATTTCTGTTGCTA